AGTCTCAGATATGGATGGTTTATTAGAACGCCTTTTCCAAGCCGATCAATCCGGGTAAAGATTCGGGAGCCTAACTGTGACATCTACAAGTTCTCACAGGAGGGTTTTTATAGAAAGAACCAAATACAAAATACATGAGGAGGCAGTACAAAGCAACATTACGTTTTTGGCTAACTAGACAAAGTATTGTCAGCTGACCTTTAAGCTGATTGGTCCTAAGTGAGGTAGAGCTTAGGGTCTTCCAAAGTGTAGCCAGACAGGTGTGTAGATAAGGGTGCAACCAGAGTGTAGCCAAGTGAATAGATAATAAAGCATGAGTTATAGCACTATTGAATCAGAGTGAAATATAAGGTCAGCTCGACCCTCTGGAAGGGTCTGCTAGTGCCTGCTATGAACGATCGCTTCCAGAAGCAGAGTTGAAAAGTTTACAATTTTGAACTTAATTTCACCTTAGAAACAAAATGGAAACTGGATACAAAGATGGCTGCAGCTTTGTCTCAAAAAGCAGGCTGCAGCAGAATACAAAAAAATATTTTTTAAAAACAGACACATGGATTTCTGGGGACCAAAGAAGCAGATGGGTGTGAGTGAAATCAGAGGCATGATGGGTGATGCAGATGCGAAAGAACCAGAAACTACGGGTCCTCTTGATTCACACACTTAGGTTTGGTAACGGAGTGTTTTTCTTTTTACATTGACGTGCTGATATGGTGTTTTAGAACAAGTACTTGGAAGCTGATTTCATTGTCCCTTGGGCTCCTGTCCCGAAGTTGATTTGTCCAGGCCTTAGTGGCTTTACATGCTAGCGCCAAGGTTTTATATGTGTTGAAAAAAATAACTGTTTTTTTTTTTTTTAAGTTTGGTTGTGCTTTAAATTTATGTGTATGGCTACCTTGCCTGCATGTCTATGTGCCACTTGTGAGCAGTGTCCACAGAGGTCAGGAGAGGGCATCAGGTCACCTGGAATTAGAGACAGTTGTTAGCTGCCACGTAGGTGCTAACAGTCCAACCCAGGCCCTCCGGAAGAGCAGGCAGTGCTCTTAACTGCTGATCCTTCTCTCCAACCCCTAGAAGAACCCTTTTGGAAAGAGGAAATGCAGGCTTCTTATGCATTGTTAATGTGGCATAATAAAGACAATATTCTGAGTTTCTTTCTTACATATTTTGCCTATAGTGAAAAGATATTGTCTTTTCAGTATACCCAAGTATACTATACTCGAGTATAGTATACTCAAAAGATATTGTCTTTTCACTATACCCAAGTATAGACACTTGGGTATCTCAGATACCCAAGTTCAAAATGGTCTCCACCTTTCTTATTTTTAAGCTAGTATAGCCACCTCCTCTGGGTTTCCATGGTACCATGCAATGTTCTAAAATTGCATCCAGTTGTAACTCCAGACTGTGAACTCCATGTTGTGTCCCTATTAGTTATATAAGGCCTGGTATACAGGCAATAGGTGCTGAATGCATTGGAATCTAGAGAAGTTTTGTGTCAGTTAGGCCTGTGTTCCAGGGTGGGTCCTGAACCCATCCTCCAGGCCTCTGCTTTCTAGCAAAGGCCTGCCCCTTCCTTGTAACTGGGTCTGGGGGTCCTGACTGCACACAGTAGAATGCTTGCCACCCTGTCCGACACTGAGGCCTGACTTCATTCCCACTCACGGCCCTGCTGAATGCGGGATGAAAAGGAGGAGAAAGGAGGGTCAGCCTGCTGTACCTGATGTCAACCTTCTGCTGAGTCCTGAGCCTATGGCTCCCACTGCTGGTGTTACCCTACACTAACAGGCTTAAGTTTTGTCTGGCCGCCTTTAGCTCTTAGGCTGACTGATTGCTTGCCCTGGTTTCTAGACTACTGCTGAATTCCCATCATGACACACTGATGTTAAGCTTTATCCTTAAGACAGACGGAGTAAAATTGTTCTCTTTTAAAGTTGTGCCATAGAAGGTGTAGGCAGAAATGGCAGCTCTATTGCTTTGTGAAGAGTTGCTTTTTATGTCTCAAATATAGAAAACATTTCAGATATCTGGAATAAGACAACAAATTGATTTTACATTGCTTACTTTTACTTTGCTTTATTTTTTTCTGTTATCTCTGATTATAAAAATTATATAGATATGTAAAAAGTCAAACTGTTAGATGAAAGAAAAAAAAAACAAGGAAAAGAACAAAAGGTAGCCCAATGCTACCACTAAAATCAGTATGGTATTGATAAGGTGGGCTTTAGGCATACGTGGGATAGAAGCACATTTCCCTCACTTGCAAACTACTTAACTGTGAACAATTTCTATAAAATTGAGGTGAAGATTTAAGTTATGTGACATCTATTCAAGTATATGAGTATATAGGTAACTTACATCCTGAAGTATTGAAGAGATTATATGAGAATGTTTAAAAACAAAGTCTAATGTGGCACTTGCCCATTCAATAAATGGTAAGTCATAGTGGACACACCTCAGCTATCCTTGTTTCTCAACGGTATTTTCCTCTCAGGTCTCCTTGCCTTCACTGTAGCTGAACTGAAGCCAAAATACATCTATTGAGAGTCTAGTATATGTGGGTGTTATGGAGTTATGAAGACAGTAATTTTGAAATCTTAATTAATTATAGTGTGGGCTGGGTGAATCATGGCGTGTGGAGATTAGAGGATGACTCCATGGAACCAGTTCTGTCCTTCCATCTTTATGTGGCTTCCTGGGCCTGAACTCAAGTCATCAGGCTTGTGCTGCAAGCCCTATGCCTGCTGAGCCATTTCTCTGGCCCCAAGATCATATTTAAAATAGTATTTGTTTAAGCAAGCCTTGTCTCCAAGTCCACATATAGTGTTTCCTAATCACTCTTTCCATTAACAGCATAAAGCTGATTGCAAATGGGGCCTCATTTTTTTTGTATGTGTGTATGAATGGACATGTGTGAAGGGATAGTGAAATCTAGCAAGGCTACTTGAGGGTTATGGTCACCACGAGGGATGCCCACCACATACAAAGTCCTCGATAAATAATTGTTATCTGAGGAATATACGTGAACTAAAGGACTTTCTTCACCTGGACTTTGTGGAAGGGAAAATCCCAAGGGCTACTCTTCTCTGCTTTATTTTTGGCCCTAAAACCTTTCAGTGAATTTGTAGACAAAACGTTAATATCCTTGACATGGTCCTAGGTTTATTTACTAGTATTTCCTAGCTGTGGTTCTCTATGAGTCCCACACAATCCATTCGCTAGGTTTCTATGAGGCCAAATAAAACATCACTTTAAAAGCATTTGTTCAATATGTTTGTTATGTAATAGCACAGTTGCTAACTATTGTTAGTGTGGCTGTGGCAGACACAGTTTGCAGACTTTGTGTGGGTTATCTCATTTATGACTCCAGTCAACTAGAATGATCTGATTTCTCATCTGCTCTTTCAGCATCTCCCAAGAAACTCCTGGTCGACCCAAAGATCAGGTCTCTATTTAGTCACTCTCCATGCTTCCTATCTTCTGTCCACTTCCTCATCTAATCAGCAGCTTCCCCCCTCCCAATTCTAAAAGAAAATCTAAATCATGAAGTCTTTTCAGTTTTCACTCTTCCTACCACATTGTTTTGCTTGGTTGTTTGTTTGTGTTTTGACACAAGTTCTCACTGTGTAGTTCTGGCTAGGCTGGAGCTTACTAGGTAGACCAGGCTGGTCTCTAGCCCACAGAGATCCACCTGCCTCTGCTGGCTGCTGGCGTCGGGCACGCACACCACCGTTCCAGAGACCATTCCACCTCACTTCCATGTCTGGAGAATGTAAGCTACATGTGCTCTCTTGACCACAGCTCCACTCCCAACACCTCGGCACCTCAGTATGCGGCCCTTTGTAAGCTTTTGCAAATTATGTCCTATATGAATTCATACTGCAGCAAACCTTTGAAGTTCTTAATCCCACCTTACAGATGAATGAACAGACTCTTAAATAACTTACCTAAGACAAGTAGCAGAACCAGGATTCAAACCCAGTCAGTTTACCTCTACAGACTGTTTCTTATCCACTATGATACAGGATTGAACTACAGTGTCTGGAGGCTAGTATTAAGGATTGACTGTGTGCGTGAGTGTGTGTGCGTGCTTGCGTGCATGCGTGTTTTCTTGGAAATAAAGTTTGTGTGGCCCCAATTCACAGCTTAGTAGACACAGCAGGAACTGCCTCCTCCCAAATCTCTTCTCTCCACTGGCCTCTTCTCCTGAAATTTTAGTAGCTCGAACAATCTGAGACGGTCTTCCTTGCCCTCCCCTTCTGGAAGGCCTTTACCACTCTCCTGTTTTTGAGAGATTCTACCAGGCAGGCCTTTATCCAACTCTTCTGTCACTACTGCTGTGCCCCAGCACCAAAAAACACAACAGAGCATCCATTTAAATTTCTTGTTGAACAAAATATCAAATGGCAAGGATGGGGCATCCCATTTTGCTTCAGTGTTGATGCAGAAACCATAGTTCTTTAAGGAAACAGTTTATTCTGGAGCAATGCAGAGTGACCATGGCCTGGGAACCCATATTCAGGTTACCCCAAATTCCACGTTCCAATGTGGAAGCAGTTTCATGAAGTTTTCATAGTTCCAAAGAACAGTGAAAGTCACAAATCAAGGCAAGTTTAAAAAACATTCAGAGAGGAAGGTACATCCACATTGGGAAAGTTTTCCTAAAGGCTCAATATGCTATCTGACCACACCCTTAGCTTCTGGGTTGGTGGAATCTATCTGCTAAGTTAATAGACTGCAAAAAGTTTCTGCCCATTAAGTCACAAGGTGTTAATACCAATACAGAAGCGGGTAAGGAAGGCTCCAGAGCGCTAGAACTAGCCTGAGAGAATTAGTCTCTGGACCCACAGCACACACAGATAACCGGGCTCTCACGCCTCACTTCCGCTCTCGAGCCAGCTTTCGCGTACGTCAGCCCTGGCTGGCCTCTTAATGGTTTGGCCCTCATCCGCCGCCGTAGCGCGTCTCCTCGGTTGCCGTGGGAGACGACCCGTGACCCGAGAGTGAGCGAAGCCGTTTCCCGCCGGCGGGAGCTGCGGCTGCGGCTGAGCAGAGGGCTGGAAGCCGCAACACCATGGCGGAGCAGCTCTATCTAGAAAACATAGACGAGTTCGTCACAGACCAGAACAAGATCGTGAGGATCTAGGACGTGGGGGAGGCGGGTGCGGGCGCGCGAGGCGGGTGTGCGGGGTCCTGAGCCTGCCAGGGCGGCCGGGGCGTCTCGACCCCGGGGCTGTGGCTTCGTGGGGACCGGCCGGGGACGGGGGTGCAGGTCAACACGGAGCGCCCCGGGGTGGGGGACAGGACCTGCGGGCCGAGCCTCCAGCGCGCCGAAGCTCGCCGGCCTTGGGCGGGCGTGCGGGGCGCCGGGGCGCGGAGCCAGGGAAGCAGGTGGGGTTCGTGAGGCCTCCTCCCCCTGCCCTGTCGGGGGCGGTGGGCCCCTCAAGTCCCGAATGTGCAGTTGAGACAGGACGGCTTGATCTGGGCTACTGACTGGTGGTTTATCCTCCAGAGATGATTTCCTCTTCCTGTATATTTAAATATGGAAAGCAAGTTGACCCGCCTCTCTGTGCGGGTGTAAAGACCGAGACAAAACTGAATGTGAAGAGACTTTGCCATTGTGAGCACTTGGACATAGTTTGTTTGGTACCGGGTGGTTACAGTCACCCCACACCTCCCTCCAGGCTGCTGCTTCAAGGGATACCTGGAGGTGGGATTTGAAGCAAAGAAGCAAACTGACTCGTTTATTAGTAAGGGACATTGGTAAGGGGTAGCTCTTTCTCCCATGCCACCCCGCCTCTGCCCAGTCTTTATTAGTCTTCTTATTGGGAATGTATGGTTTAGAATTGGAAGAAACAGAATGGACAAAACGGCTCAAGGAAGGATGGAGGCTTGATAACTCCTGATACCACATTTTACTCATTTTTCTGGCCCCCACGCCACGTGTTCCTCTTAACGTTCGTATAGTTGTTAGTTTCCCGAGGAGTTGTAGGTTTGGAGATAAATTTTAGTTGGCTTCTCTGATGAGTGTCAGAAGGCATAAAATAAAACAAGGGATGTGAATGAAATAGTCTTTGCTTATATTTGGCTTGGCTTTGTAGATTCTTAAAACAGGTTTTTTTCTGTTACATATAGTGTGTGGGTGTGAGAGAGAGACACACGTGTGGCTGTCAGAGGACCAGTTCTCCCATTCCACCATATGAATCCAGGGGAACAAACTCAGGTTCTTAAGGGTATGGTAGCAAGCCTTTTCACCCACAGGGCCATGTCTCGGACCCACCTTTGTAGATTCATTTGCACCAACCAGTCTGTGAAGCATCTGAGTACTTGTAAGATAATCTTGTCACTAGATGGCTCTTCTAAGTGCTAGCGACTGTGGTTTACAGGACATAATCATCCAGGAATAAGAATCTTTAGGAGCAGGCTCTTGGCACGTATCTGTACCCTGGAAACATCTAATAAACCCTTAACTTTTTTTTTTTTTTCTTTCAGGTGACTTACAAGTGGCTAAGCTATACATTAGGGGTTCATGTTAACCAGGCCAAGCAGTAAGTCCAGTTTTCTGTTAAGTTTAATGATGTTGGGATGTTTCTTTTGTTACTTATTTTTCCAGCGTAATATTTTGATTTGTGAATTTCACACTGTGCACCCTGATCACACTCACTTCCCAGTTCTCCCAGGTCTACTCCCTACACTTGTGACTCCCCACCCCACCCCCCAAAAAAAGAAAACAAAAATCACAAGTCCAGGCTGTGTTTTTGTGTTGCCCATCTACTCCCTGGAGCATAGTCAAACTCCCAGCCAGCCCCTTAAAGAAAACTCTCACTTCATTTTTAATTCTTACAGGACTGTTGGGTTAGAAATGACTTTTTACCTCCGGGTTAATAGAAAAGAATATTATTTTCACTACTTTTGTCTCTTTTTAATTGTGTTTGTGTGTTCATGTATGTTCATGTGGATGCACATAGGCACAGAACTCACGGGAAGGTCAAAGGACAAGCTTGATTTCATCCCTCCCTTTTGGACTTTTTGGAGCTAGATCACTTGTTATTCTCTGTTGTGTCCACCAGACTGGTTGACCCGCAAGCTTCTGAGGACTCTTCTGCCTGTCTCCCTGTCATCACAGGAGGGCTGGAATTTCAGAAATAGGCTCCTTTCTCTAGCTTTGCTTGGGTTCTGGGGATCTGAACACAGGTCCTCATGCTTGCATGGCAGGACTTGACCCTCTTCACCATTTCTCCAGCCCAGTTTTTCTCTTTTTAGGTCAGTGGACTTGTATAGAAATGTGTTGTGATAATTTAGCTGGATTTATTTGCAGCCTTGTCTTCTGGTTAACATCACTTTTGTGGTGGTTTGAATGAGAATGATCCCCGTAGGCTCAGATATTTGAACTTTTGGTCTCCAGGTGGCGGCACTGTTTGGGGAGGCTCGGGTGGTGCAGCCAAGGAGGTGCAGCCTTGCTGGAGGAAGTACGTCACTGGAGGCAGGCTTTGAGTGGTCTCACCCCACTTCATGCTCATATTCTCTGTTTTGTGCTTATGCTTGCATTAGAAGATGGGCGCTCTCAGCTTCCTGCTCAACCTCCCTTGCCCGGCACGCTCTTTCCATGATGGGCTCTTATCCCTCTGGAACAGTATACCCAAAAAAGCTTTGTTCCATATGTTGCTTTTGTCATGGTCTTTTATCACAGCAACAGAAAAGTAACTTTTATTAAATGGACTGAACAGTCTTGTTTCTAGCTTTATGTGCTTGTTGTCTTAGAGCTTTGTGTGTTCACATGTGTTTGTTACGCCGATTTTGGCCCATATTTTCATAATGTTTCTATTGTGATAAAACACTGACTGACACCAGTGTGGAGAGGAAAGAGTGTATTTGTCTTATGAGGCAAGAACCTAGAGGCGGGAACTGAAGCAGAGACCATGAAGGAGCACAGCATAGCTACCTTCCTTACCATTCAGAACCCACTGCCCGCTGTGGGCTGGGCCCTCCTACATCAACTAACAATTAATAGAATGCCTTACAGACATGCCCACAGGCCCATCCAGTGGAGGCAATTCCCCAGTTCAGGTTTCCTATTCCTGAGTGTGTCACGTTGCCAACTGAGGGGTATGATACAGGTCAGCATGTGTTTGACATTAACTGTCTGATAGTTTAGGGTTTAAGAGCTGGAGCCGGTGAGATGGCTCAAGTAAGCCAAGGTGCTTGCTGTTGAGCCTGATGACCCAAGTTCAGCTCTGGGGACTTAACAGAAAGAGAACAGACCCTCACAGGTGGCCCTCTTCCGGTCTTGAGCTGTTGCATGTATGTACACAAACACACATCCTACTTACTGAAAAAGGATAGGAGAGTATTTAAGTGAAAGTAAAGAGAGTGCTTAGGAAGCCGGGTGTTGTCTTTGCAGTCTGCCCCCCCCCTTTTTTTTTTTTCAGTAAAACATCTAATTTGAGGTCAAAAGAGAAAAGACAGCTTTTAAATTAATGGTAGAATGTTTTGCTCTGCAAAGGTGCCTACTGTTGTGTAAATCTTGGGAATTGCTTAGTCATTTGCGGATACATGCTTGGGTTATATGTCTTCCTTGTTTGTCCTGCCCCTGGGTGGCAGGAGCTTTCTTTGAGCAAGAACAACATGGTACATGTCTTAGAAAGCCCCTGATCTCTAGAGCAGACTGACTTGGCTTTATTTGAGTTAACATTATATGGGTGTAGGAGACTGATTTTAGCTGTGTAGTTTAGGCTTTTAAGACCTGAAACTATTAGCCCAGAAGTAGATTTAGACCTGTTGTTTTGTTTTGTGTTTGTGTTTTTTTGAGACAGAGTTTTTCTGTGTAGCCTTAGCCAAGGCTAAGAGGCTGTTCTGGACTCAACCAGGTTGGCCTTGAACTCAAAGAGGTCTGTCTGCCTCTGCCTCCCTGAGTGTTGGCATTACAGGCGTCACCCGGCTAAATGTGTTTTTACCAAGATTGCCCAAAATCAGCCTTGGCCCAAACCTGTGAGCTGCAGTAACTTTGGGAATGGACACATACAAGAGTATTCATTGTCTGTAAACAGGGCCTCACTGTTAGCTCTAATTGGCCTGAAATTCTGTATGCAGACTAGGTTGGCCTCAGAGTTGGAGATCTGCCTGCCTCTGCCTTCCCAGTGCTGGGATTAAAGGCATTGAGTACCACAACTGGCTGTGCTTTATTCATTTCAATGATAGTTGTTTGAATATGAAGTGAAGCAACTTCTATGATTAGAACTGATAAGGAGACAAGACTGCATTTGGCTGCCATGTTCCAGAATATCTTGGACACAATCATAATCATTGCAGTGGAGGAGACATGAAAGCACAAGGCGGAAGAATCCACAAAACTGGCATATGGGCCACACTTTGCACTTATGTGACTTATGGTCTGTGGGAAAGGCAGCCGTACAAACTAAGTGGCAGGTATCACAGGATAGCTCTGTTAGCACTCGGGGTGGAGGCCCTCTGCTAGGCTGTTCATGTTACAGAAGGCTTGGATTAGGAGGTAGTAACTGAGCTTTTGTTTCAGTGATGAATTAGGTGAATGAGACCTGTATAGCCCTCGTTGGCCCAGAATTCTCTGTGAAAGCCAGGGTGGCCGCAAACAGAGGCCTCTGCCTCCCTAGGATTAAGAATAGGTAGGCAGATCTCTAGGATTTAAGTTCCTACCAATTTCAGGTTTACACTCTAGGAAAGAGAGTGTGAACTTTTGGCTGGTCCAAATGGGCAGGCGCTTTGACTCCTTTGTTCGCTGCTTAGAACACAAGTGGCTGCGCAGTAAAGTTTTAATGTGTTTCTGAATCTGTTGACTTTTTTTTACTGACGTGTGTTCACTGTGACAACCTCAGATAATGACGGTGAGAAGAGGGTACAGTTGATGCTTGGAATTAAGTAGTCTAGTAAGGTTTGGACGGTATAGCATCAACAATAGTTGAAAGGGAGAGCTCCTGAGACTTGGCAACTCACTGAATAAGAAGCAAAGAGTAATAACTCCTAGACTTCTGGCTAAGGTGGCTTGGACAAATGATGATGTCATCAGGGAAAATGAAGCCACGGTTGAGTAAAATAGACCAGAGAGAGTACCACAGGAGATTGACCATATCCCATGTCCCAGGAAACTTCTCAGACTTGGGCAAACTGGGGTGGATGGTCATACTAAACCAGAGTAGGAAGACGGTTGAAGATAACACCCGCAGCTGAGGAAAGGAGAGCACTGAAACTGCAGGAAACAACTGGGGCAGTTGTAGCAGCAGAGACTCTGGGCAGGGCTCATGGAAGTAGGAGGGGCCATCTGGAGAAGTGATCAGCGGAGAGGTTGAGGTTTTCTTCTCTTCTTATATTAATTAATTCAACTTACATCTCAGTTTACACAAGGCCGGCCCTCCCTCTTCTCCTCCCAGTCCCATCCTCCCTCCTGTATGCCCTCTCCCCTATTCTGAGGAATAGGGGAGTCTCCCTACCCAGAAACCAAAGCTCATCTATTCATATGAGGACTGAGTTTGTTTTCCTGGCCTGGTAGGGCAGTCCCATTAGGGGGAAGTGATCAAAAAGAGTTGAGGTTTTCTTTGGCCTTTGGGGGGGGGGGCGCAAGCATTTTTACATAGCTGTGGGTGACCTGTGGCTTGATGAGTAGACCAGGCTGGCCTTGAACTTGCAGAGACCCACCTGTTTCTCCCTCTAGGGTTAAAGGCATGTACCACCATACCTAGCTCTCAGAATTTCTGACTTACTGGCTATTACCAACTAAAGTATGCTGTGTAGAAGCTTGCTAAATTTCTTGAAATAAAGACAAATGATGGCCATCTTTTCATTGTTTTAAACTCTAGCTTATCAGTGGTAGGCAACTTTTAGCATTTTGGGTGGTTAGGATAAAAGTGAGTAAGGATTTTACTGCAAGCAACATACCTGCATTTAGTGTGTGGCTGAATCAGGTTAATGAATGTTTTGGATGTTGGATGGTGTAAGCACCTGCTATCTTCTATGGTCGTGAAACCTCTGATTCTCAGAAATTCAGTAGTATCAAAGGTGGATATATATTTGTCATGATGTATGTGAAAGCTTGAAATGTTTAAAGTAGTGATCGTAGAATGACTGAAAACCTCAGATATCCATTCCCTAAAAGTACATATAGGACAGTTTGAGAATAGAGGCTTGTAGACAGTGTACGAATTAAGGTTACAAGAATTATTCATGGAGTAATGACACTGACACTTTTGCTTTATGCCTCAAGACAGGAAACCTAGAAAACTTTCTGCTGGATGCCGTATCTGATAACTGATTCACTTTTGTATCTGCGACTTAATCATTGCCACTGTTTGTCAATGGGTTCTGCCCCTCCTGGCATATTTCTAGTTTTATCTCAGTTACTTCCTGGGTCACTGAGCCAACTCAAACAAGTTGGCTCTAATCCTGTGCTTTTTTAAAGTTTGTTTGTTGTTGTGGGTTTGATTTTTTTTTTTTCCAGAAATCTGCTCAGTAAGTAAAATTGTGCTATTTAGAAAACTGCCAGATTTCGTATATCTGATTTCTAAGTCAAGAATCAGGAGTTGAGGTGAAGATGCATACTAACGAGTCCCTTCTGTCTTGTTTGGAACAGGATGCTCTATGAATATGTTGAAAAGAAGCGGAAGGAAAATTCGGGAGCGCAGCTGCATGTTACCTACTTGGTGTCCGGCAGTCTTACACAGAACGGACATTCTGTAAGTTCTCTTGTACTGAGCCTCGTGTGTGAGACATAAACAGCGTTAGAAAGAACAGGAGAAAAAGCAGAATTGAGTGCTATGGAGCTTGACAGTACCTCTTGAGAAGAGGGAGCATTTTGAAATTTTAAACTAACTCTGACACTCAGGAAGATTTAGGTAATATCTTAGCTGTGATGAAGAGACTATCATTATTAATTACTTAGGAAATGAGACATTAGAGAGTGGCTTTTCCTTGAACCTCTTTTTTTCTCTTGAATATATATTGAGGACACTGGTACTTAATTTTTCATTCTGTTCAAATTTCAAGCCACAAATTCAGGAGTTTAAAAAAAAATGAGAAAAGAAAAATTAGCTAGCTGGGTGTGATGGCACACGCCTCTAATCCCAGCACTCGGGGAGGCAGAAGCAGAGGCCAGCCTGGTCTACAAAGTGAGTCTAGGTCAGCCAAGACTACACAGAGAAACTCTGTCTCTGAAAACAAAACAAAAAGAAGGAAGGAAGGAAGGAAAGATAGATTAGCTGACCTGACCTTATTTTTAATGTGAGCACTCTTACTAGGTTTTAAAGGTCACTTAGAGTGGCCCCCTGGGGGGTAGGCATGAGAGCTAGGTGCTGGTACAGTCCAGAGGCATGGGCTGGGGGTATGTTTAGGCCCCTGATCTTTTTCTCTTCTAGTGCTGTCTGCATCTAGTCTGCCAGCGTAGGGTACTGTTGCTTTTTCATCTCAACCACAAAGCAGTCTCAGGTCTGTTGATCTCCTCTTGACTTCCAAGTCCTCTTCAGGGGTCGGTCCAGGTGTCACTGTGTTGTTTTAGGCCTTACAGAGCACCAGAAACTTTGTTGTCTTGTACCTCTTGCTCCAGACTGAGTCCTGGGAACATTCATAATCCTCACACTGGCTTCCTGTCCAATGCATGACTGTCCTTGAGCCTCTCTGAAGATACTTGTGTCTCCGTGCCATCAGTCCCAGGACCAGGGTCCCTTCTTGGAGATCCACTGAAGTCCTAAGTTTACAACCTTAACATCATTTACCGTAGTACTGACTGGGTTTGTTTTTTAACAAGAGTCCCAAGCGCATGAAATTTAAAGCTCTAGGTGGATTTGGTAACATCTGAGGAGAAACAAAACTTTGGGATCAGAGCCCTGCATTCTCCAGCCAGGATTTTCTTTTCATGTCGGCATGCTATTTGAAATTCTCAACTGTTTAGTCAGCCGTGGGTCTCAACTTTTCTAATGCTGCGACCCTTTAATACAATTCTTCATATTGTGGTGACCCCTAGCCATAAAATTATTTCGTTGCTATTTCCTAACTGTAATGTTGCTACTGTTATGAATCATAACATCTGATATGTAGGATTGTTTATATGCAACCCTCGAAGAGGTCTCTACTCACAAGCTGAGAACCACTGTTGAGTGGCTCTTGTTAATTACAAGTTCTCCTTAGCGTTTTATGTAGTGATTTCTAGTTGAGAATGATTTTTTTAATAATCTATTTAATTTTTTTATTTTATGTGCATTGGCGTGAGGGTGTCAGACGACCTGGAACTAACTGCTTACAGACAGTTGTGAGCTGCCATGTGGCTGCTGGGAGTTGAACCCAGGTCCCTTGGAAGAGCAGACAGCACTCTTAACCACTGAGCTATCTCTCCAGCCCCGAGAATGATTTTTTAAATTACCTAATTTATTATTAATTTACCAGAGGTTTCAAAATAGTCAAGTTTTAAGTTGGAATCTTGCTGTGAAGAGTTTTTTTTAAAAGGACAGTTCTCACCGTGTATCCTGGCTGTAGACTAGGCTGATCGTATTCAGCCATCCCCCTGCCTCTGTCTAGTGCTGGGTTATGGGTATAAATCACCACACACGGCCTCCATAAGAACCTTGATTGGCACCTAGTGTGGCCACACATGCTTATAATTCTAGCATGTGGGAGGCTGATGCAGGAGAGTCAAGATTCTGATGCCAGCCTGGTCACGACCTCTCTCCAAAACATAAAATAAAATTCTAAAAGGTGACCGGGTTTGTGAGGCTGCACTTGCTGGGACCTTCACCCTGACAGGCGCCGACCTGACGAGCACTGGTGTAGCACAGCACGGTGGGTGTCCAGCGCTGCGCCTGTGCGTTTTCAGTAGCCCCAAGCACAGGCACCTAGCCGTACTGCGCTGCCTGACTGTCTAGATCATTCCCTTAGGCGTGAGTTAGTCACTGCCCCGAGGCTGCACTAGAAGTCTGCAGTGTTTCAATGCTTAGTTTTTAATTCCTTTTTTGGGGGGTAGGGGTGGGGGCGTGCCCTGTAATTTTTAATGGGCAGTTCTGCAGATTGTGACTTTTGGGAATGTTCGGTTCGTGTGATCATGCAGGTGTGTGTAGGTGCGTGTGCGTGTGTGCAAACACGCCTATGGGTGTGGGTGTGCATACGCTTGTGCAGGCCAGAGGCACATTGTTAGTGTTCCTCAGGAGCTCTCCACGGTGATTTTTGAGCCTGAAGTGTGCTGATTTGGCTAGCTGTCTAGCGGCCTCCAGGATCCTGCTCTCTTCGTGTCTCCAGTACCAGAATTTTAAGTGGTGCTACCGTGCCCATCTTTTTACATGGATGCTGGGAATTAAACTCAAATCCTTACACTTGCATGGCAAGCATTGTAGCAACTGAGCTATTTCTCTGCTTAATTTTTCAAAGGGAGAACACAAAAAAACCCATGAACTTTCTTAATTCAAATTTATGACTACGTTTTGAAAAACTTCTTTTGAAGTATTAGGGAGATAGCTCATTGGTAGAGCACTTGCCTAGCATAAACACCCAAACAGACATTTACTTTGATGCAAAACATGGCTAGCATCACACAGTAATTGGCAGTACTTGAGAAGCTGAGACAGGAGGATTACTTAGTTTGAGGCCAGTCTGAGCATAGTGTAAGTTTCTGTCTCCTAAAAACCAACTAGCCAAACAAAAAAGCTAGCTTGATTTTTATATTGTGCTTCTATAGTAGGAATTTTGGTGGTTCCTAACATTGACATAGATACATGTTGCTTTAGCCAAATATGAGATTTAGAGGAGAAAATGAATATTTTTACTAACAATTACTGAAAATTGTTGAAGAGGTTTTTTTGAAGGATTTTTTTTTCTGTAGGCTATATCCTGTTTAAATCACCCAATCCCTCATTGTGCAATTTATCAGTTCAAGATTTATTTAAACTCAGTACCCCCCTCCCCCGTTCTGTGCAGCTGACTATTGGATTGGTTTGTTTCCTTCTGTTTTTGTTGTTTTTATATATGCTTTTAACAGAAACAATTACATTTGTATTACCCCTTTCTTAGATAAATGTTCTCGTATTTTACGCCTATGTTGAACTCAGTTTTTAAACTAGAGACCCTTTTCACTTGGTAATAGAAATGTTCCCCCTGTAGCCACGTAAGGGCTACGTTGATAGATGTTGGCTGAGTCGCCCTTACTGATGTCTCGGCTGTCGCAGCTGGGCTGCAGTGGGCAGCTTCGTGGATATGGCTTCTGTGTTCTGCTAGGGTTTGGGGCTGCATTCCTGGAAGCAGCACTGCTGGCTAAGGCCTAAATGGGGCTTGGCAGATACTTCCCTCATTTTACCAACAGTCAGTGAAGATCTCGACTCCACACAGCACCTGTAGGTTTCTGGCTGTGAGCTGTTTGCTCATACTTCTGTGTCTTTCTCTAAAAGCTCTCATTTTCCATAGTTCATCTTCGTCTTTATATTGTGAAGCTACAGCATTCTTTGTGATGCAAGTTTTAATTGTTTTTTTTCATCATTTGTTTTTGTAGTTTGTTTAATTTTTTTTGTTGTTTTTATTTAAAAGGCTTTTTTTTTTCCTTTTAAAATTATTTCAGTTTTTCTTGGATAACTTATCCTAAAACTTAGGATAGTTTTAGGTTATGAAGAATTCACAGATTTTCTTCTGTTCATAGATAGATACTTTTATTTACATTTAAATCTCTTAATTCACCAGAACTTATGCAAGCATATGGTGTGAAACAGATCTAATTTTTTATTAATTTATTCTCTCATATATTACATCCCAACTACAGTTTCCCCTCCCCTCCACCTTCCCCCTTCCTATCCACTCATTCTCTGTTTCTCTTCAGAAAAGAGCAGGCCTCCCAGGAATGTCAACCAAACATGGCATATCAAGTTGCAGGAAAATTAGGCACCTCCCTCATATTAAGGTTGGGTGAGGCAACCCAGTAGGAAGAAAGGGTCCCCAAAGCAGGCAACAGTGTCAGCCCCAGATCCCTCTGCTAAGGGTCCCACAAAAACACCAAACTACACAACTGTAACATATATTCAGAGGGTCTGCATTAGACCCATGAAGGCCGATTGTTCAGTCTCAGTGAGCCCTATGAGTCTAGGTGTGTTGATTATGTAAGTTTTCTGTGGTGTCCTTGACCCCTCTGCATCTTAACAATCCTTCCCCGCTTCTGAAGGATTACTCAGGCTTTGCCTGATGTTTAGTTGTGGGTCTCTGCATCTGTTTCAATCAGTTGCTGGATGAAGCCTTTCTGATGACAGTTGAGTTAGGCACCAATCTATGAGTATAAAGAATAGACAGATCTAACTCTTGTTTATATAGTAATTATCATTAAATCATTTACTAAAAATTGCTCTTACACTATTTTGAGATGCAGTTTTGTTTAATAAAAGTATTAGGGCTGGCTTCTCATTTACCTTAGTTTCTCTTTTCAAGAAGCTATAAAATATGAAAATTAAAAAATTTACACAGCTTGGTGTGGTGGTATGTGCCTTTAATCCCAGTAGGTAGGTAGGTAGAAGAGTTTGAGGCCCGCGTGCTCTACAAAGTGAGTCCAGGTGAGTCAAGGCTACACAGAGAAACCCTGTCTTGAAAAACAAAGAAATTCAGACTGCTGTCTACTCTAGTGTATTTTCAGGGCACGCAGTGTTTTTCTAATTTCATAGCTAAGCACAGCTGAGTGTCAGGAGGCTGAGGAGTTCTGTAGCCTCACGCTGATGGAGTGTTGTTCCTTGCAGTGCCACAAGGTCGCAGTAGTGAGGGAAGATGAGCTGGAAGGTGAGTAAGCTTTTATAAAGTACATGTCTAATAGGATTTCAAGACTCATGGAAGACACACAAAAATTGTCATGAATTCCAGATGACATATGAGGGCTGTAACCCCGTGTGGAATGGAATAGCCAGAGCTAGAGCTTGCAAAAAAGATTACCAAACTCATAGCAACCAAGACTTAATTCATGGTGCTCAGCTGTGAGCTTCGTGGACCTCACGGCAGCCCTGGTGTGGCCACACAGTGAGCGCTGTCCACTGCATGCCGGCCCACAGTGCAGCTCCAGTAAACACCCTGAAACGCCTTGGCCCGGGCTTGAGGCTGAGGATGACATGTGCTGTGTTGGGTGTTCTCAGTTGTCGTCTGCACTTATAGAGACATAGTGAAATAATAATGAAAACCACAGAATATTTTTCTGCATTGTTTCTTGTGTAAGTATTGGATTAGTATGGTTGGGGATTGTGTTTATCTTGGACTATTTGATTTTAAAAATTGCTATTTGAGTTGTTACTGGTTTTATTTAAAAAGAAAAATCAGTGTATTTCAGCTTGGATTAGAACTGGGTTTCTAACAATCTGAAATGGCCTAAATATACTTCTTCTATTTTTTACTATGTATTTCTGCAGAGTAGTGGCACTGTCAGCATGGATGATTATAAAAAACAAAATATTGATTAGCTAAAAAAAAACATTGACATGTTCTGCATTCTCCAGTATTAAATATTCAGCCAGGATTTCAACTCTTTGTATAAAAATAAACATGCACACTTGTTTCATTAGTGTATTAAATTTGTTTTCAATCTTTAATAATAAAATTATATGTATGCCAAAGGGTTGTTTTAAAATAAAATTCTCTATGACTTACTGTCAGTAAATATTTAAATTGTGTACCTATTTTTTATATATAAGTTTGCATAAAAATTTCTCTAGCAAAAAAGAAAACGTTAAGAAACTCTGTCATATGTGGTGGTTATTATGTCCTAAGCTCTCTGCTAGGCACTGGTGACAAGGAACAAGTTAGGCATAATGCCTTCCCTTTTAGACCCACAGTTTGCTCCTGTGTTGATAGTCTTTTGATTTTGCTCTGTAAACTCGGCTCTTTTTCTAAACCGACATTGGAACTTACGACTAAATCTTATCAGTAGAGCCAAATCTTCTCAGGTAGAGATTACTTAATTATCTTTGACTGACTGAAAACAAAGCATCATAATCATCCTCAGTTACTATTAGTGTTTGCTGAGTGTCCCTGGATGAGTAATAGCCTCACAGATGCTGTACTTAGAAATGACCCAGCGCCGTCATGTCCGCATTGTAGATAGAGGCTTGATGTTATACTTAACCTGGGGCTGTTTGGCCTGGTGCAGTTTTGGAAAACCATAGATTGCAAATGGTTTTAGTGCAGAAGAGTTTGTTGTTAAAGTCCCCACAAGCTCTAAAGTTGTGTATTAACAGACGCTTTTCCTGTTGACTTGTAGCAGTGAAATCCAAGCTAGCTGTGACTGCCAGCATCCATGTGTACAGCATCCAGAAAGCTGTGCTAAAGGACAGTGGGCCTCTGTTCAACACCGACTATGACATCCTTAAAAGCAATTTGCAGAACTGCAGCAAGTAAGCTCCTTCATGTTCTTGTGGTTTCTTTACGAATTGACTTTGTAAGGTGTTTACGCAGTGGCTGCCTCTTAAGAGTGAATGCCAAGTCTAGTAAAACCCCATTTATCTTGCAGTAAGACACATGCCTAGTTTTATTAGTACATCATAAGGTGAAAAATAGCAGCCACAACCCATACTGAAAACTCCAGTGGACTCCCCATAAATCTATCTCTCATATATTTATCCTGTCATCACCCTCAGAAATGTTTGTTGTGTCCCCTCACTACTCTTTTGCCCCAGTCTCCGCTTGTTTAAATCTTACCCATCTTTTAGGAGCTAGTTCAAATGTGGCCTTCAAAAAACTGTTCCTAAATTGGATGACCCCATTCCCTCTAGCCAAACGTAACTTAGCCCCAAAGTTCCATAGCCAAGATCAGATCTTGTAAATCTTTTGTGTTCTTCTGGGCACTTGGGGATGACTGACTCTAATGTGTGCAGTTTAGAAACTGATAATCATACGTTTTGTTATGTTGTGTTATGCTACTACTAGCTCAATGACTTTGAACAGATAATATTCTCTAGTTTTGGTTTCTTCATCTTTGAATCAGTTGTGATAACTCCTACTCTGTGAGGTTGTACTGGGGGCTCAAGTCAGTTCTTTAAAAATCACATTTGAGTATCTACCACCTTGATTTAATAACAACTTAAATTCAGGAGATGGAGAGATGCTCAGTGCTTTAGAGTACTTATTACTTCTGTAGAGGACCCAGGTTCAGGTCCCAGTACCCAAATGGTGGCTCACAACCATCTATAACCCCAGGTGCAGGGGATATAAAACCTTTTGGCCTCCTTGGGTCTAGGTGAGCATATGGTGCACAGACATATATGCTGGCAAAACACATATAAAATTAGATAAATTAAAAGATAGTTGGAGTTTGTTTGCCATGTACCTGATGAATACCATTGAATTACTACATACTTTTGAGAATATGACCCAGGACCCGTTCCTGAGGTTGGTGGCCTATGGAAATAGCGGTTACAGTACAGTGCTATTAAGAGGAATAGTGTGAGAATGTTTTGGAGATAGGCATTTGTTCCAAGCTTCTGGATGGGTGAAGTGAAGGGGAAAACCAGGTGGCTTTCCAGGTTAAGACATGTTGGTTGAGACTTGAAGATCCAGTAGAAGTTGCCAGTGTTAGAGTAAAGACAGAGCTGAGAGAAACATGATTTTGCATAATCAATATTGTGTGTGGCTAGAGCATATGTGAGACATAATTAGAAGATTGGAGTTAGGTTCCTTTTTGAATACTTCCATTGAGCTTAGGTTTTACTCTGAGAAGAGTAAAGAGTAAGGTTTTGGATGTGTGGAATTGCTAGGCAGTCTCAAGTAAGGATGTCCTTTGCAGTAGATAAGTCTCAAGGTAAACAAAATGGTTTGGATTCAGCTCTCAGGTAAGCTACTCGGCCAGGACGCCGATAGCCATGGAGAGAGAATGTATAGAATGAAAGGACTGAAAATGTAACTCACGGTTACAATTTTTACCAGTGGTGTGGCTTTGTACAAATAATTTAGACTCTTTGTGATTCAACTTCCTTGTGGTAGAGTCTACCATAGTACCAACCTCACATGTAGTAGGGATTAAGTAAATTAAGATCTGTAGAGCTCTCCTTACAGCTTTGTTCAGCACATGGTAAGTGCTCTTTAGTGGTAGCTTTTTATTTCAATGAATGGATGGAAAAAGAGGGTCTAAGAGGAAGCACTCAGTGAAGTGGAAAATTATGAAAATGTATGGGGTTCCACAAGCTGAGGGCAGAGTTTGAGAAAGGGAAACCGGTGGATGCTTTGAAGAAGCAAGTCAGATAGAAATGGAAGGAGTCCATTGGATCTAGCTATGGCTTCAAAGGAAAGGAGGACAAGAGCTACAAAGAAATCGAAACTTTGAAATCGTGTGTGTGTGGGGGGGATTTTAATGTGGTTCAGTGATAGAGATTACTTTTCGCGGCTCCAAGTTCTGCCCTCGTCACTGCAGAATAAAGCGCAAGCACAGAAATAATCACAAGACGGCTGCTGAGGCAGGCAGAGCACAACATTCCAGGCTGCCTTGCTGCTTAGCACCAGACTGTCCAGGCCACACAAGTGAGGAACTTACGCTGTGTTATTGGCCAAGAGCAGTGTTGAAGATAATACAAGGGATGGGATAAGTGATATCACAGATTCTTGGAGGAATTGCTACAGAATTGTCAACTGTATTTCCTTTAAACACCATCTGGTTAGGATTCCAGTCAGTTAATGTAGCTATTCCAAAATGGTCCCTGGTATACAGTAACTAATATTGACTGTGTTAATAATGGGCATTAGGGTAGTTTTTCTTTTTTGTCTATTCTAAAACTTTGAATATAATGAGCATTTGAATATTTATTAAGTACATAGCCAGAGACTAATTTACAAGTTCTCTGTCTTAGGAAAGGATTTCAAGGAAAAAAAAAAATAGCACTTTTTTTTTTTGAGACAGAGCTTTCCTGTGTAGCAGTCCTGGCTGTCTTAGACTCACTTTCTAGACCAGGCTGGCCTTGAACTCACAGAGATCTGCCTCTCTCTGTCTCTCAAATGCTGGGAATAAAGGCATGAGCAACCATATCTAGCCACACTTTGCTAATTTTATGTAAAACGTTTAATTTTATTTAAAAAATAATCTGTATTAAAATCTTGAGGCATGTTAAGATGACTCATCATATCCAATATCAGATAAAACTGGTTCTGTTAAAGTTCAGCAAGTAAACAAGCAAGAGTAAAAGTTGCTTGGAGGTTTAGCTGTGGTTCTCAACCTTCCTAATGCTGTGACTCTTTAATACAGTTCCTTGTGATATGGGGTCCCCTCCAACCATAAGATTATTTCATTGCTATTTTATAACTTAACTTTATTGCTATTGCTATGAATTTAATGTAAATTTCATAGCAGGATATCTGATATTTGATCCCTGTGAAAGGGTAGTTTGATCCCAGAGGAGTTGCAATCCATAGGATGAGAAGCGCTAGTTTAAAGCAAAATCTTCCTGTGCACGAAAATACCACGGCAGATAAGAACGTAGTTAATAAAGGACTGCAGCAAACTCTACTAATACAGCCTTTGTTGAATTTGAGCATTAGCCAGGCCTGATGGTGCATCCTTTGACCATAGCACTTGGGAGGTGGAGATGACAGCATTGTCAGTTATATGGGAATTTGAGGCTAGCCTGCACTACAGGAAACCCCCAGTCATGATTTCTCTTCTTGTTGCTGACAAAAACAACTTAAAACAGAAAGGATTTGTTCTGGTTTATCATTCAGTGGCACAGTCCATCGTGGTGAGGAGGTCAGCTTGAAGCAGCTGGTTCATCACACTCCCAATCAAGAAGCATAGAGCAATGAAAGCTTGTTCAGCTCTCATTCTCCTTTTTTGTTTAGTGCAGGCTCCCCTTCCAGGGAGCCACTCATAGTGAGCAGGTCTTCCTACCTCACTGAATCAAATCAAGATGTTCCCTCGCAGGTGTGCCCAGAGGCTGGACTCTCGGGTGATGCTAGATCTCAGCAAATTGACAGTTAAGATAAACTATGTTATCTTTTTGTTGGTTGGTTAGATTTTTCAGACAGGGTCTCCTGGAACTTGCTTTGTAGACCAGGCTGGCCTCAGACTCAGAGCCTGCCTCTGCCTTTTGAGTGCTGGGATTAAAAGTGTGGCCCACTGCCACCCTAGCCAGCTCATCTTATCTGAGGGTTGGGTGGGAGATCAAGTAGGAGAAGAGAAGGAAAGAGGGAGAGTTTATCTCCAATAGAGAAGTTTGTGCTTGCTCTTAAGAAATGAGCCTCCCAAGATCTGATACTGTGTTTTAGGAAGTGTTACGAAAGCAAGGAAGGTGAGATTCAGTGTTGAGCAGTCTTTTCTCTTATAACTGCTCCAGCCTAACTTGGACTTTTCCTGGTTGCCAGTTGCTAGTCCTGATCCTAAGGTGTGGAATGCAGACCAAATAAAGAGTTGTCTTAAAGCCAACTTTAGATGCTGACAATGAAATAAAACATTGCCTTTTCCATTGTATATGGGAGCACTGCAAGGCCCGGGAGGAAGACCAGGGGGTAAAAGCAAATGATTTCTGTCTGTTCTCTTCAACTAAAAGGTGTTCTGAGTGGATTGTAATGACTCAGTGGAAGATTTGTGTTACTCTGAAGCTGCTTAGTCAAAAGTTTTTATTTCTGAAATGAAATACTTTTGGGACCATTTGCAGCTCTTCCAGTTCGTTTTTGGATAGTTCCTATCTCCACAGAGTTTCTGTGTCTTCCCATTTTCTGTTCCAGTTGAGGAGATACACTGAATAAGAAAGGAAAACCAGAAGCTGCCCCTCTTCAGTCATTCTTCCCCATCCTTGCCATGCACCAGGTCTTATGCTGAGTGTCCGTAATACAAAGAATGAAGAGGGCCTCCAGTGAGCTTTCACCTGCTCCCAATAAGCAAAACACTGCGAAGTAAAATGTCTTCTTTATTAGGAAAAGCTGGGGAACTCTGCTTTATGTCTAACCTCTGAGAAGGTTGAACAGGTTCCCATTCACATCGTGGACTATTGCATCAGAGTCACATGAAACAGGCACATTGGCACTAACTGGAGAGTAAGAGGTGAATGTTCCCAGTAATATGCTATGCAGACTGTTCACCACAGCCTTCAGCATGTAGCCTCCTGATATAAGTTGCTATTTTTAGAAATGAAGAACAAATGGATGCAAAGGAGCATGAGTTATGGGAACCATTGGCTCTGTCCCTGCTTTTTACTTTAAAGCATGGTACACTCTGGCTAGGAGAGTTGCCAAGAAACTGATTACCAATGTATAGCTGTTGATAGTTACTATTCCTGGAACTTGGTCAAAGGACCATGTGGTTTCCCAAGGACGCTGGGATTATTACTGTTTGCTGGAAAGTAAGAGGTGAATAAAAACAAGTGTAGATGTTGGGTGGTGGTGGTGCATACCTTTAATCCCAGCACTCCAGAGGCAGAGGCTGGCACACTTCTGTGAGTTCAAGGCTAATCTGGTCTACGTAGTGAATTCTAGGACAGCCAGGGCTATGTAGAGAGACCCTGTCTAAAACCAAACCAACCAAAAAGAACAAAACCCCAAAAAAACAAGTGTGTTCAATATGATGTGGTAGAAAATGATTGATTCAGTTCTAACTTCATAATTAGGTAAAAATACATTGTAGGCTAAAGTTCCCTCTCCATACTGCTTTAACCATTTTTCTCTGATCCAGTCTAGTTTTAAAATTCCCTAGTTTTTTGTTTTTTTTTTTTTTTTTTTTTAATACTAATGTGAAAAGATACATAGCAAGCCCAGAGTTTGACAATGAGGTTTTATAGCGACATTGATCTTCGGCCCATTCTGTCCTTAGGTTTAGTGCCATACAGTGTGCAGCTGCAGTCCCCAGAGCTCCTGCAGAATCCTCATCTTCCAGAAAGTTGGAGCACTCAAATCTTCAGGCAGCAAGTGAGGCACCAGCCAGGGAGCTGACCACCAACGGCCATGGCCCACCTGCCTCCAAACAGGCGTCCCAGCAGCCCAAAGGGATTATGGGAATGTTGGTCTCTAAAGCTGCTACTAAAACCCAAGACAACAAGGAAACCAAAACAGAGGGCAAAGAAGTAACAAATGTAAGTTCTTTACAGTAGGCCTTTTTTTATATAACAGAATTGGAATCCAGGAAGACCTACACAGCTTCCATGCTCATTTATTTCTATAAGGGTCCTACAGTCAGTTATGAGTTTTCTACTTTAGTTTGAACATGAAGAATTATTTGAGGTCTTGCTATCAGGTCCAGGCTGGCCTCAAACTCAGGCTCCTCTTCCAACCCTGCTTCTCCAGTGTTGGGAAGAAGCCTGAGCTATCGTGCCTGATGTAGTTTGAACCGTATTTTAGTTAATGTTTAATATCTCTTCTGATAGTCCTTTTTTTGCCCATAATACTCCTCCTCAATATTGGACTCTGTATAAAATGCTAAGACCTGGTTTGTACAGGAATAAGATCTTTGTGACAGCCATTGAAGTAGTGTACATGAAAATCACCCTGAAAGCCTGCAAGTTTGAGGAATTCTATATTAGTAGAGACGTTTGAGAACATCTAGCTGGGGTTTTGCCATATGTATCTTCCTTCCTGGCATATTTGACATTTGTGTTCTGTTTTATGCTTTTGTTTGTTTGTTTGTTTGTTTGTTTGTTTTGTTTCTTGTCCTCATTATTCATTCATTTCTCTTTGCTTTTTCTTGTTCAGTAATCTGAACTAATTTAAGGGCGTTAAGAAAAATAACTATATCTTGGTTTGGTGATACATGCCTGTTATCTCAGCATTTAGGAAGTTGAGGCTGCACAATGAGATTCTATCTTTAAAAGAAAATAAAAGAAAAATATAAACATACTGCCTTAAAAATTCAGAAAAGTACAGTTACTGTTGTTACTACTAATTCTTCCTGTCATCATTATTTTCAAGTTTCTGCTTTGGCAAAGTGAAGGGAAGGCAGAAAACAGACAGAATTGAATTCCTTCTGTGCACTGACAGTCTGATCTTTGTGTAAAGCCTCTCATCCGTTCTGTGTGAGTCTTAAATGTGTATGCTAAACTAGAGCCTAGACTTGTAATGCACCTGCGGGTCATATTACTATTATATTATAGGTCCAGGATTCGGATCCACTTCTGATCATTAAAAATGCTTTACCCTCTTTCCCATTGTTTATCATACCACTTCTGATTCAATTCTTTTAAGACAAATAGTTTTTAAATGTGCTCAAGAAAAACTCAGATGTATTCATAAATAATTTGTAAAAACAAAGCAAACTTTGGGAATTAGCAAGATGCTGTTTGGTGGTATGGTTCCTTTCTATGTTCTTGTAGCTACATCTGCACATTTGCACATATATAGAGTTGGCGCTGTTCATACAGAGTTGGTACTGTCAAGGCGGAACGCTTTGTTTTGTGACAGTTCCTCACCTGACCATGCTGGCTTTGATCTTGCTGTGTAGCTGAGGATGACCTTGAACTCCTGATTCTCCAAGTTCCACCTTCCTTATTCTGGAATTACAGTCTTGTATCATCATGCCTGGCTTTTAGTATGCTCTATTGCTGGAGATTGATTGAGGCCATGGTACTTCGAGAGCAACCTAAACGTTAGACAAACTTAAAAACTGTTTTCTTTTTTCTGATTTTAGGCATCTTCATCTGGAGGCAAAGCACCAGGAAAAGGGAATGTGATGAGCAACTTTTTTGGAAAAGCTGCTTTGAGTAAGCATGTTCTTTATTTCTTTGAACTCAGATGAATGTTGCTGTAGTGACATATGCCCAAGGTGGGGGCCTCTAGTCTGATGTTTGCACATCCAGGCATTCCTGGTTCGTAACAAATCCACAGAGAACTGATCAATGTATTGGTGAAAATAGCTCTTAGAGGGGAGTTTATATTATTTCTGCTTTCAGTTCCTGCATTAGGAAAAGAATAAAGTAATCCCTTCATGGAGCATTTGAGAATGGGTAATTAAAATGAGAGAGTAGCTGCTCAATAGCGGAGATGCTGGCGTCATTGTGCTTGGTGTACCCTTATTACTACTGTCTCTCCAGGGACCACAAAAATATAGACTTTTACTTTTTTAAATTAGATTTTAAGATTACTCAAAGCACTGAATTAAATGTAAATGTGAATATAGGCAGTAATGGCCAGGCTCTTTTTTTTTTTTTTTTTTTTTTTTTTTTTTGAGAAAGGAAAGATCTCTTTTATTTAAACATCTCTTAATGGAAAGAGCCAATAGTTACATATTTTTATACATCATATATCAAGTGTTCATCTCCTGGAGAGGGTGTGACAGAATGGCAATAAGAGTGTAGGAACTGCAGGGTAACACACACATTCTAGCAATACTGGTTCTACAGAGATCTGTGGCCTTGTGTTGCATGCCTATCCAAGCAAAATTATCGGAATTCTGTTCTTCTGTGATGGCCAGATTAGTACTTGGAGGGTGGTGGGTGTTTTCCTTGCTGTGGAGGCTCTCAGAAAAGACTGTTTTTTGTGTTGTGAACATAAAGAAAATGTGGTACTTGGAAGTTATCCAGAAACATGCTTTGGTGGTGGTGCTGGAACAAGTGTACAGGAGGTTCCTCTTCCTGGGCACACATTGAGTCTGGCTGGTGCTGGGACACTGTATTCAGTCTGAGATCATTTCTTAACAATTTTGATGCTTTTGTTGTTGTTGAAGTGTTTGTAACCTTAAGCTCCACTGAAGAATTTTAATTATTTAAAACTGTTTTTGCTTATTTGTATATGTGATTTTTTATCTGTGGAGATATGTTCACATGAATACAGTTTACCATGATCATTTATGTTTCCACACAAACCCTCAAAAATATGAATAGATTGCATTTTACATTCTGATCCATTTTCTCTACTACCAAAGACTATACATTCTTTTAAAAACTATTGTACTAACCTGCATGTATCAACCGAGACTAAGGTAGTTTTCCACATGGTAGATGGATTAAGCAGTTACAGAACAGGTAACCCAAAATGCTTATTGAAGGACCGCCTGCTGTATATAGGTTTCCAGTTGTATATTGTGACTTTGCCTATAAAAAGCCATCGGTGGATATGCACGAGGCTAGATTATGCGTTACTGTATTTTCGGCTGGCTGGGTCCTTTCTGACCGGCATGGCAGCTTAGGTGTGTTGTGTTTCAGCTTAATATAGAGACCTGGGTTAGGAGTTGAGCTGACTAAGGCCCATATCCAACGCTTACTTTCCCTCTCAGTGATATCTTGGGTAACTTGATTAATGTTTGATAGTAGTTTTATAAATATTATTCCAACTCTCACAGAGAAAGATGACTTTCGGACTTGCCCAGAGGGAAGGATTTTAGTAAATTCAGCTTTACCATTGATGGTAGCATTGAGATAGGAGTATCTAGGTATTAAAAGGTAGGATACAGGACTTAGAGAGATGGCTCAATGATTTAAAAAAAAAAAAAAAAAAAAAAGCACTGCTTGCTCTTCTAAAGACCTGGGTTGAATTCCCAGTACTCAAGAGGCAGCTCACAACTATCTGTAACTGTGTGCCAGGGATCTAATGCCCTCTTCTGCCTTCCACAGGGACCAGGCATACGTGTGGTGCACAGACATACATGCAGACAAAATATCCATACAAACGAAATATATATAATTTAAGGTAGAATATAAGATGTCGCTACGAATGCAGCTGTCACCCATTGTTAAGCTGTACTCTTGAACATGACAACCTGCACCTTTGTTTTCATATATTTTAGAGAGTTGAACTTAGGGGCTACCAAGCCTGACAATCCAAGTTTGATCCTTGCAGTCTGCATGGTAGCAGGAGAGAGCCTTCACATATATACCATGGCATACACAAACCCATTATACATGCAATAAATAAATAGATGTAATTTTTTTTTTTTTAATTAAAAACCCAAAAGTTGAATTTGGTATTTTTAAGGCTTGTGTTTGGTATCATGTAGAGCTGTGACATAATGAGAGATTAGAGGAAAGCAGAAATAAGATTATGTATGTTTTCTTTATCACCTGTGCACCCTTTTAGGACAGGGGCGGTTTTTTATCCCTTGCTCCTAACGTTACCTGTCACATAGTGGACTGACACAAGAATGATGGATTAATATTGTATGATGGGTTATATATGTCTGCTATATTTTGCTGTAGATAAACTGAAAATCAGTTTGGATTCAGAACAAGCAGTGAAAGAAGAGAAGACGGTGGAGCAGCCTCCAGTGTCTGTCACTGAACCAAAGCTGGCAGCTCCCACAGCTCTGAAGAAGTCCAGCAGAAAGGCAGAGCCTGTGAAGATGCAACAGAAGGAAAAAAAATGGTAGGAAAATTTTGTTCCTTGGAGGAAGGGCAGTCTTGTGGAGGTGAGGTGGTCTGTCTGGGCTTTCTCAGCAGGCAGCTCTCAGCCCAGCGTTCAGCTTGCTTACTGCCTTAGGGATGCAGCTGTGCGGCTAGGAGGAAGAGAAAAGCCCCACAGCTCATCTAGAGGCAGGGCTGGAGGGCAGCTGGCTTGAGTGAGGCGGGAGCCAAGGCTACATTTTGTCCCCATTGAAGCAAAGGATCACCTTGGCCCCCAGACTTCAGTTTAAATGTGTAGACACTGTGTAAGTGTGCCTCTGTGTGTGTGTGTTTCACATCAAATTACCCAGTGAGAAGTTACTGTTTCCAGTCCAGTTTAAGAGAAGAACTTCTTTGTTTTCTTTTTATATCAATGAGTTTATTTTTCAAGTGGTAAAATGTAATTAGAAAAGAAAATAAAAAGCACACAAGCTGTTAAAAATGGATCCAGGAGTTTGAGACACTACCTCATAGCTGGTAGGAATTAGTCTGTTGAAAGAAATTTTAAAGGACACTGTCAGCACTGATAGGCCCACAAAGAACCAACTTTTGTGGTAAACTTGGAGCAACAAAATGGTGACATTTCAGAGGGGTAAGGCTCTGTCCAGCGGGCCTTACCTCCCGGGAACACATGATATACATGGATTAAAATATCCCCAACCGCGATCACAACGCTCACTGCTGGAGGCTGTACCAGGCACGCACTGAGCACTTCACCACCAAATAGCAGGTTAAGTGTAGGGATTTAATAGGTGTCCTTTACAAGACTGCAAATGCTTTTTTCTGTTCCAAGTCTGCCGAGAGGCTTTTACTCACTGATTTTAAATTTTAGCAGGCTTTTTCTACCTTTTCTGAGGTGGCTCATATACTCTTCCTGCTAAAATGGTGGATTGTACTGGTTGACATGAAAATGTTAAGCCAGCCTTGCATTCTTTGGATTAGCTCCCGGGGCTGTACTTACTGTTCTTATACACTGCTAGGTCAGTTGATATTACCCTGGAGGGAGGGGGTTGTTCCTATATTTTTGAGGACTGCAGGTAAGCTGTTTTCTTTCCTGGTAATTGGCTAGTTTTAGTATCAAACTTGTGGTAACTTCGTAAGTTAAGAGGAGTTTCCCATTTTCCAAAGGAGTTTGTGAATTTTGTTATTATTTTACATTTATTTATTGTGGGGAGTGGGGTGGGGGTGTTATGTGTGTGCACAGAGGACCGTGTAGGGCCCTGGAATAGAACTTGGTTCATTAGCTTTGTCGCCAAGCACCTTGATCTGTTGAGCCACCTCTGGCCCTATGTAGGTATTTCTAATACATTTAATATATGATAAAATCTGTTTGTGAATCTGGGCCTGGATTTCTTTTATAGGATTTTTATTTTTGTATGTGAGAGCTTTTTTAAGTAGTGTTATTCAAATTTCCTAGTTCTTTTTTGGATCAGTTTTTATTAAGTTGTGCTTTTAAAGGAATTTATTTCCTGTAAGTGCTTGAGCTTATTAGAGTTGTTCATAATCTAGCCTTGTGTTGGAGTATTTATAGACTATATTGTTATGACTGTAGATTTCTTTATTCTCTAATTACCACTTGGAAATACATGTTTTTCCCTCTTTTGTAAAAGGCTTATTAATCTTTTCTCTTTAATATAACAACTTTAGACTTTGTTAATTTTTTTCTATTTCTGCTCAGATGTTTATTTCCTTTGGCTTATTCTGTGTTTATTTTATTCTTTTCCTAGCTAAAGTAGGAAAAAAATGTTGATGTTCAAAATTAAATATGACATAGGTACTCAATAACAAAGACTATGGTTTACATGTATTTGACTCTTAACACACAATATGCCCCTAAATTATTTATTGATGAAATGAATGCTGTAATGGAGAAAGCAGACAGAAAAGCTAAATAATGTCAAGCCAGAGTCTAGGTTTTTATTTTTACTACATCATTAGAATGACTTTACAGTCTTGTCTAGGCCTTTGCTCACATTGTTCTCTCACTTTAGAATAGTTGTCTTCCCTTCCTACCTGTTGAATGTCTACTCAGCTTTTAACAGTCGTGTCCCACAATGTTACTTGTTCATTAAATTTTATCATGTTGTATAATAGCTAGTGCAGCTGGCCAGAGCATGTTCATCTTTTGACGCAAGATTTCACTATGTGGCCCAGGCTGGCCACAGTCTTAGAATCCTCTCAGCTGAAATTATAGGCATGTGCCTGCCAGAGCTTCTTGAGAACAGCATTTCTTTCCTGGTTTTTGCCTTATGATTGTTTAGCTGCTTATTTAATGTGTGTTAAAGACTAAAAGGCCGGTTGGAGGTGTGGGGGAAGGCATCTAGAAGACGCTAGATAAACTGGCCGATAGAAATTGGGGAAATACTTTATTCTGGCCACCCTGTAAAGTGATGTAGTTGTGGATATAACAGTAAATATCTCCAAAGAATCAATCTTCCCACTGGGCACGGTGTTATACCACTTGGGAGGCAGAGGCAAGAGGATCTCTGTGAGTTCAAGGCCAGTCTGGTCTACATAGGGAATTCCAGGACAGACAGCACTACATAGAAACCCTGTGTCAGCTGGGAAGTGTAATACACGCCTTTAATCTCAGCACTCAGGAGGCAGAGGCGGGTGATCTCAGGGTTAGAAGCCAGCCTGGTCTACAAGCAAGTTCCAGGACAGCCAGGGCAACACAGAAACTCTGTCTTGGAAAAACCAACCAACATAGAAACAAACCAAACCCCCTGTCAAACAAACAGAAAAGGAATCAATCTTTCCTTGTTTGTTATTTTCTGCCTCTGGAGTCACGACTGTGAGCGCTAAAAGACGCTGCATAGGAACATGTACATACTTCAACATACAAATACTTCTTGTTCTGTTTTGTCCTTAATTTATTCCTGGATGGCATCAGGGGGAAGCGAGTAGACTTATCTGATGAGGAAGCAAAGGAAACGGAAAACCTGAAGAAAAAGCGAAGAAGAATCAAGCTTCCTCAGTCCGATAGCAGTGAAGATGAAGGTACACATTGCTATTAATTTTTGTTAGGGGGATCATTTTGTGGTTCATGAGCAAGGACCTAAAAATGTCACTTACTATGGGCTAATGAGATCAGTACTCCTAGCAATGATAGGATATTTCTCATTGAAATCTACTTCAGTCCTTTGATCAGAATAGTGATCGTTTGGTAACTTGTGAAAAATAAACGAAACAGAGAAAGTGTGCCTACTGTTGCACATGCTGAGACCTTTTTTTTTCCCCCTCTTGAAGGCTGGTGTTTCTTTGGCTGTTCATATGCTGCATATTCTAGAAAAACTAATCAGTAAAACAGTAAAGCTGGAAGACCATAGTGTTGCTCTTGAAAGGGAGTGCCACTGTGCTTCTTCCAGGGTTAGGTATGGGCAGTGTTGTCAGACAGCAAACAACACACACAGGAGTCTCTTTACAGGAAAATTACGAAGCTTTTAAAACAAATACCAAGTACTTCCAATTTGTAAAGTACATGTGTAGGTGTTTTGCTTACCAGTTTGTCTGCACCGCATGCATGCGGTGCTCAGAAGAGGGCATTAGATTCCCTGGAACTGGAGTTACAGATGGTGGTGAGCCGCCAGTCAGACTCAGGTCTTCTGGAAGAGCAGCCAGTGCTCCTAACCACTGAGCCATCTCTGAAACCTCTCTATTAAGTACTCTTAGGAACCAAGATCTTACCAAACCACGTAGAGTATATGGAAAGAAGCTAAAGGGAAAGTGCTTGGGTGGCTTGTGCTATCAGGAGAGTGTGCTGAGAGAATGGGGCTACAGCTGGAGGCAGTTTCTAAGAGTTAAGGTATAATGTATCTGTCATTTTACACAATTGGAAGAGACCCGGCATCTTAGAAACTCGTGGACAGTGTAAATAAATTGATTACAGAGAGTTAGAGAAGAATGACTAATGCAGAAGGAACCTGCTGAGCTGTCAAAAGCCAAAACTAAAGATGCAAGAGTCTTTCTAAGAAACAGCCACTGGAGCACCTGAAACAGTAGTAGAGGCTCTACCCAAAGGGCACTGACTATACAAATGAATGTAGAGCATGCTAGAAATGCAGAAGGGTGAGCAGACGTAGAAACTAGTACCAAGAGCTTGGATCTGTCTGTTAGACCCATTTTCTCTGGGTGTGGAGACTCCCTAGTCATGGGTAGGTGTTAAGGATCACAGCCTCTGATATTCTGTGAGGGAAACAGTACCTTTCAGAATGTGTGGATTTTAATGTATCTTTAAAGCAAGCCAGGCCAGGGCATGGCATCCCTGGGAGGAGATGTTGTTACGTATTGTCATTTTGTACCATTTATGACAATAAATGAAAGAGATTTCTGAAAAGAAAATTCTAGAGCAAATGGATGAAATAAAGTTCACCAGGAAAAACCTTTCCAGTTAGGAATTGAAATACATGAAACTATGTGGGTACATGGGAATTAGGAGGTAAACTTAGGAAAATGTGATAACTAGAGCGGTCTTCCGTTTACCAACTGCAAAAGCAAACTGGGGAGAAGATTCCGGAAATACTTTGAAGCCAAGAGCTTAATGTTCATTGAAAAGAGAAAACTTAGGGGTTTGGGAAATAGGTCTATCAGCAAGCGTCTGCCTCACAAGCATGAAGATCTTACCTGTCACCTGCATAAAAGGCACACGCTTACAGCCATGCTGTCTGGGCAGTCAGTTTAGCCTAGTGAGCAAGACAAGGCATGCAACTCCTGAAGGACAGCATCTGTGCCTGAGCCTCCACGTGTATGCAAGCATGTACACCTGCACATACATGACTCCTCCCATTCACAGAGCTAACACTGATCGTCTAGTGTTATTGAAAGTGCCAGCTCTGAACTGAGTTCGTAGCCCAGAGAATAATAATACCCATGAGCCATCAGAAATGGGTCTGCGGTTGCTTAGTTGGGAAAGGAGTGTAAAGAAATATGATCGAAGTGAGCAGCATGTGACAACAGGTGACAGATCAGAGCCCCTCAAGTTCTTTCCCCTGGCAGAGATCAGTTTTGGCATCTGGCTGAACCATTTTCTTCTAAAATTTCTGTCTAAAATCTAGCAGGATTTTATGTTGAATCTTTCTGCAGTCTTTAACTTTTGCTTGTGTTCCATTGATTATACTACCTCGACCTGTGTCTCAGGCTCCTCATTAGTAGGTGCGCTACAAGCATGCGGCATGGCACAGGCTCCAGTCTGAGAGACCTGGCTTTGAGCCTTCCTGCACCGACCGCTTTCTAGCTGACGGCAGGCAGAGACTTAGCTTCCGTGTTTACTCCCCCAACATTGTAACATCACCACAAGCTATAGTTCTTTGTGGCCATGAAGACAACACATCAGAAACATCAGAAACGCCAAGACTGCGCTTGACACCCGGTAGCTTTTCACATTGTGCTTCCCCCACTCCCTCCGGCTGGCCCGTGACAGACACCTTTGTAAGAACCTCCTCAGAAAGGCTGTCCTGAGGGTCAGCCCTAGAGTGGTGAGCACTCTAGTAGTTCTGCATGTTTAAAAGAAATAACATTAATATGTGTGTTGCTAGGAAGAAATAGTTTTTATGGCTGTGTTAGGTACTTGTTTCAGTCCTTACAGGTTGTGTGTGGAGAATATTAAGCACATGACACACATCGTTTTTTTAGGTAAAGATGGGTAATATAAAAATATATATTGGGTCCTAGGAACCGGTGATTGCTTTCCAGGAATTGGAATGACTAGTTTCTGCCAGAAGACTCTTGACAAACAAGTGGTTGCGTTGCTGGTTCGCTGGAATTAGTCCTCCCGCAGCTCTCATTCTGTTCCAGCAAGAGCTGCTTTCCTGAGCTGCTGCTTTACCACTTGAATGTTTCTCATCGACTACAGATTTAGTTCAGATACACCAGTGCACAAAGCATCCTTTGTATTTACGTCAGGAAGAGTGTGTTGAGTCAGAATGCTTGGCTTAATGGGAAAGACTGAATGTGGGCAAGTTTTTAAAAAATTTCTTTGAACCTCAGTTATATGAGACAAGTAATGATTTGTGAGTTATTACGAGAATGAGTGGTTAATGTTTATAGAGTAGAAAATGTTGGTTGTTTATCCTTCCTTAAAATATTTAAGTTTAAACACAGTCTACATATACACAGTTTTTAAAGTCAGATAAAACAAAGTTTATAATGATAATCCCTACCATCTGAATCACTGAACTGACTTTTGTTGTCAGCATGCTCCCATCTGCCTTCCATCTCTCAAGATGTGTTGAAATCTTTTTATTCCTCTGTTCTCTTCTCTTCCATGGGGGTTATGCCATTTTATTATTGTATGATTCTTTGGGAGATGGGCAAGTGGAAAGGAGGAAGGGGAAAGTATCTTCGGTCTTTCTTCTCTTGACCTGGATATTCCTCACCCCAAATTTTATTCGGGAAGTGCTTGTTCTCCTTGACTTATAGCAAACCCAGTTACTGTTGCTGTGTGTTCAGTGCCAGGACAACTGTGGCATCCCTGCCTCTTTGGACTGGGAGTCTGAGGTGAGACATAGGTAAACAGTTGCCTGCAGGTGCCATTGGAATTGTTTCCTTGGGTAAGCCGTGTCATTGAAGAACTGAAAGGAGAGCACAAATACCCACATTCATCACTTAAGTATTCAAAATTCCTTTTCTACGTAGACTTTCCTTCCTTGCTCCATAGACTTTCCAGCAGCCACTGTGGCCCAGCTTTCTAATTAGCCATTACTTCAGAACACTTCTCTTGCTTAGGCTCCCATCATGTACTGTCTTCATGGAGCGAGCTTCATAGCTAGACTGAAGCACACTGCTTTCCTTCTGTAGTGAGCTTGTGGAGTTAGGGGCCCATTTCATACTTGAAGTATCTCATTGCTTTATTCTGGCTCTTATTCTGTTTCACCTCTTTAGGTCATTTGGCCACGAAGCCCCCACTGTCATAATTTTAAACACTGACTTAATCAGTTAGGAGAAATTCAGATCCAAGCTTTGTGCAAAGAATTTGAACATAGCCAGAAGATTCAGGAAACAAGTGAAGCCAAGCAGCCACTCACGCCACAACCAGCAGCTTCCTTATGATTAAGCAGCAGGTTGGGGATAGGGGTTTAGCACAGTGGGAGGGTGCTTCCCTAGCAAGTTCAAGGCCTTGGTTTGAAACCTCAGCTGGGGGTGGGGGAATAAAATTAAAAAAAAAAAAAAGTAACAAGCAGTAGGTCTGCTGCAGCTCCTCCTGTCCTCTGATGACCTTCTTGTGGACCTCTTTACTGAGAACACTGGACTCGTCCTGTGGCACTCCATTTTCAGATAGCCATTTCCACAGCCTTTCTTTCTGCCCGTTCTGTGTGTGGCAAACAAAGGCTTCTCAGTGGCGAACTCACTAGAAATAGTCCCATAGAAACTACTAATCAGGTTAGGTCGTTGGATGTTTCATGGAAATCAGTTTCAAAGGTGATTGTTCCCCAAAGCCATGCCCTTACTGCCAGCTGGATAATCCAGGTCTAATAGTCATCCTCTAACCACAGCAGCAGATACGCTGCTGTGGAGCCCTGAGTAGAGCAGGCTGCCTCCACTTCCTCCTCATCGTGAATGGCAAGAGCACGGATGCTTGGCTTAGGAAGGCTGTGAACTCACATTGATGGGTTTAAAACCTGTTGCTATGAGTTGTATGAGCCTTTGTCAAGTAAAGGAATCTCCCGGAACCTCTGTTTATTCAGCTATGTTATAGGAGTAAAATCTGACTCCTGACATGATCAGTATCTGTCAACCAACTTCATGCTCTGATCTTGCTGTAATAAAACACTTAGCTAAGATAATCTCTAAGGTATTGCCAACTTTATAAACTCTTTATTCTCCACTTGTAATTATGTAAAATTAATGTGTACTGTAAAGTTACGTCTGTTAACTTCAGAGTCCTTGCTTTTCATGAATTACTGCTTACAAAATATGCCCTTTGATAACTGGAAGTTTCAAGGCAGATGCAGTGGAGAAGACATTGTGCTGGTTAGAGCTTGTTCTCTTCATGAAGTTTGTTCATTTTCCCAGTCTTTCCAGACTCTCCTGAGATGTATGAAGCACACTCACCATCTCCACCTCCTGCATCTCCACCTCCTGATCCTGTGCCAAAAACTGAGCCTGCTCCTCTTAAGGTAAAGCCACCAGAGTGTTCTGTCCTGTGTGTCTTTTCTCCCTCAGGAACCTACTATGCTGAGCCATGTGTGATTTTTCTCTGTGTTTCTCCAGTGCTAGTAGCTAGCTTTTGTATCATGGTGCTCCTATCCAGGTTGGCCAGGTTGACACAACTCTCTTCTCACCTGAGGTGACCCGTTGCTACAGGGCATGGCCTTAGGAAAGCTGCAGAGGTGGCCCAGAGTTAGCTTGGGGCAGCTGTTCAGTGTTCTGTGACTATCCCCATCAGGGCTGCTGTGCTACACAGCTGTAGTTAGAATTGTGCAAAAGGAGGCTCTGCCTGCACCAGGGCAAATTATGAAGGATAAAAGGAAACAAGACTCAGATTTATTCTTTAGGGAAAGGACTTGATGAGAAAAACCACAGCAAACAGCGACGTGCAGTTCTGAATGCTCTTTAGCTGTGGCTTGTCTGTGTTAGCATGGGTGGTGAAATGTTGAGATGAATGTTGATAAGCCTCCTTTTCTTTGTAACCATTAGTTTTCTTTAATTCATTCCGTTAAGACTTCTGTAAATCTTGTACTATTATATCATGGCCAGAGGAATGGGATGAAAGAGACAGTGGAGATAAAAGGAAACTGACAGTAGCAATATGTGCTTCTGGCGTAACTAGTTGGGTATAATGTTCAAATGCCAAGGCTGAACAAAGCAAGTAAGCACTGCACGGCGCATACTGAGAACCCCTGAGAACACCTCTGCCCCGGCTTCCTGGAAAACCCTTAGAGAAGCTGACTGCAGTGGAATGCTTTCCCTGTCTCTCTCTGCCTCGAAAGTTCTTAACCTGTTTGTCTTTTTTACCAAGAGCACAGCTCTTTCCTAAGCACGCTGCTTTTCTTTCTGTATACAGGACGACACCGGGCATGTGCATTACGTAAGCATTACGCCTGTGCTGCGGGGCTGTACCCCTAAAGTGTGGAGTTCCTCTTTCCACTTTTTATCATAGTGGTGTGTTAGGGGGTGGTTTTAGAGATTCAGAATCTCTTATTTTTTTCTATAGCTTTACAGGTCAACTTAACATTGTTATCTTCTGATCGTTTAGCGTTCAAGTGGAGAAAACAAAAGAAAACGAAAGCGTGTCCTGAAATCTAAAACCTTTTTGGATGAAGAAGGCTGCATGGGTAAGACAAATATGTGGCATCAGGGGCACCAGAGTCCGCTGGGGAGCAGTCTGTCCAGATGTGGATGCTCATGGGACTTAGTCCATGGCCGCTGCTGCTTCTGGTCGGTGGCCCGCACCTGGGGCACAGAGCACGAAGAACACTGCGGTGGAGTCAACACTGGGCGTTTGTGTGGGCCCTACAGCATGAAATGAAGCTCTGAGAGGGGGGTGTCAAAGTCATGTCATCTCAGCTGGGGATCTCTTTGATCTGTGGAGTGGAAGGGAAATACCTCTTGCCTCCTGGTGGGGTCTTTGTGAAGGTTCAGATGAGGTATCAACACTGTCTTAAACACTAAGAAACACATTTTAAAAGACTGTAGTGGAAGGAAAGCTTCCCCAGTGTTTAGTCTCTGGAGAGAGTCAAGCCTCTGGTGTCCAGTCCCATTCATTCTTAGGAGAGTATGATTTGATCTCCTGCTTCCTGTGTGTTCCTCTTTGTGCCAGGTCAGGCTCTTGCCACAGTTGAACAGTCTTCGGTGGGGCTTTTGGGATACAGCAGTTGAAGCCTGTTGGCATGCTCAGATTCCAACACCATGCTCTCCTGTCTGGAAATAGTATGGATTTGGGCTTACAAACCTGTGGTCAGTTGGAATATAGATAATTCTTTCTCCTTTCTCATGGCACTGGTCACAAAGTAGATCTCCTAGAGAAGGTTTTAATGCCTTTTGTTGTTTTTTTGAGACAGGGCTTCTCTGTGTATCCTGGCTGTGGAACTCACTCTGTAGACCAGCCTGGCCTTGAACTCAGAGATCATCTGTCTCTGCCTTCCAAGGGCTGAGATTAAAGGCCTGTGCTGCTACCACCACCAGGTGGCCCTATCTTTTTTGATTTTCCTTTACTTGTTCAAATTTCTGTCTTTAAAAGATTGATTGGCTCTGCAGAATCAGCTCTTCCTCGGCTGGGGGCTTACTAAAGCTCATGGAGACACTGTGATGGTTACATGTCCTATCCTACTACCCCCACTTCCTGTTCTGCTGATGCAGCCGTCACTGTGACCGTCATGCGTAATTGGGGAGTAACATTCTTTGCATGTGGCGGTACTCTCTTCATGCTACTTTTCTTGAGAATCTGTGCATTCTAAACCTTGGTATGTTTTGTTATGATTTTTTTTGTTTTGTTTGTTTGCTTTTAGTATTTTAATATCATTAGAATGTGTTAGCTATTGCATGTGTGTGTGTGTGTGTGTGTGTGTATATATATATATATATATATATATATATATATAATTGAATTAAAAAGACAAAAGCATCAGTGCTAGTTGTTTTTTTTTTTTTTTCTTCTTTAAAAGAAGAAAGTGAAGGATATTTTTATGAGAGTTCATTAGGAATCTATGGCTAATCATTTATTTCTTTGTTTTGAGCCCTCAGGTTTTGAGCAGGTGTGGAACCTGGGCTTGTTTGTGAGTCTTTCTCCACACGGGACTGTTAACAGGCTTAGAGGCAGCGATGAGAACTGCTCACATAGCACCTTTGTTTGTAAGGTTTTTAGTTTAAGGGCAGGGGAATGAACCTGGGCTCTGGTTACTGACAAAGGCTGTGTTTTCTCACTCTGCTTCGACTGCCAGATGTACTAGCACAGGGGCTTGCCCTGCCCTTGCTAGATTTTTTTCTCTGTGGGTTTGTAGTAGGGACTATGGCATTGGGCTTTGAAGTAGGTTGAGGTGAATTTCTGATCAAGGAATGTGTTTCTCAGAGCTAAGAAGCCGAATGGAATGTTGTCCACACAGAGCAGGCTTCTTGGAATGGCAGCTAAGGAAAGTGGCACATTCCGCTAACATAGAGGTGCTGTGTTTTGAAGTTGAGATCTCCTCTGTCCTGTAGTTTGAAGTAGCTACAACTTTGACTATAGAAACGCCCCTTTAAGTTTTTTACACCAGCTGTGCTGTTCAAGGCATTTGGTTGGTGCAGCCTGGCCGGTTTTTAACTTTCCAAGCGGTGCACCACAGGCCGCCGGCCACAGCACAGCCAGTGGTTTCACCAGAAGCAGCGAGATAACAATCCTGAAATGTGGTAGTGTAGTCATGCTGCCCTTGGAATAGAGACTATGGCTTACGAAGTAACGGGGCTTGCTACCAACGAGACGTCATTTCCTTTCAGAGGCTCTTCAGATCTGCCTGACACATAAGTCAATAACAGCTCGTAATTTTGTCCCGTGAATTGAGTTGTATAATACATTTGGCATAGGGCTTGTTGGGGATGGAGGGTGTTCTGAGATTGTGCTTGCTAAATTACAGCTATTCCATGGGAATGCCTCACTTGTCTTTTCAAAAAGATTACAGATTTCTCCAATTTTACTAGCGAAGTACCTGAAAGTCTGGCTAAAATTGGAATTCTTCTGCATTCCTCGTCTTTCTCTTCTCCTTTTTTCCTTTGTAGGCATGGTCTCACCATGTAACTTAGCTGGTCTCATCAGGGCTTTTTGCCAGTCACCATGCGCACAGATGTCAGGTGTTTGCAGTACACCTGCCTGAGATGCTGCATTTCTAACCAGATCGCCGAAGAGCCCAAGTCCTATAGCCCAAGTTACAGTTTTAAAGCTTGTGTCATCAAAGTGCGTCTCAGTTCTTGGAAGTAAAAACAAATCCTAAGACCTCCATGTGGAGATAATTGGTGGGTTTGCAGCCCAGCAGGGATTAGGTGATGTGGCTGAAGGATGTTCTTCAGAGGCCCACTTAACATCCAGCAGAGCAAACGATAGGGAAAGAACACTGAAAAGTATTTGCAAACACTGCTGGGGACATCCATATATGCTGAGGGTCAGTGTGCTCCGCATTTTAGTGGAGAGAGGGATATTGATTCATCAAGTGTCACCCAGACCAACAGTGTTTGTGTCATATGGGAATGTGTTTAAAAAAAAAGTTCTCAGGTTCCACCACAGACCTGCTGAGCATGGAACTTGGAGCTAGAGTCCAGCAGAGTTCTAACAGGCTCCCCAGATAATTAGTGCATATTCACATCAAGACAGCCGAGGCTTAGAACACAGATAGTTGGATCGCCGTGCCTGTGCCTCTGAAACAGTTTAACCAGGGTATTTTAATTAGAAAGAATTATCAATGACTAAGAGTGTGAAACCATTGACTTTAGTACTTTGAGCCCGTTTATGCATGAGGCTACTTTTTCAGTGAAGAGATGTTTCCTTTCACTGTCTCTCTCGCTTGCTGTGTTCAGAAAGGCTAAGAAAGAACGTGGCTGCTTCTGCTTTGGAAGCACTGTGTGTGGCCTGTGGCTGTGGAGAGCAGGTGAGAACGTGATTTGAGCCTCTTCTGCCTGCTCCCCAGGGCAAACCTGTTGGCGTAGTTCTTCTCCAGGTCCCCTTGGGAAGAGTTCAGGGACTTCTATTTTAGTTTCCATGTGTGCTGCATGCATGTGTGTGCATCACATGGGCGCCTGGTGCTGGGGGGTCAGAAGAGGGACGTTTGACCCCCAGAGTTGGCAGTAAGGGCAGTTTCAAGCTGCCATATGTGATGGGAACTGCACTCAGGTCCTCTGCAAGAATAGCAAATGGTCTTGGCTACTGAGCTATCTCTCCAGGTCATTTTAATGGCAGAGAAAAAACCTTTGGCTGCTAGGAAGTAAGAAAACTGGTAACTTTGCTTCTTATTTTATCATTGTCTGTCCTTAAACTTTCAAATGTATCATCTAGTATGGTTCATTTGGAACCGTTTTCGTCGTGATATAGGCTGCAGTAAATCTTGGGTTGGTCAGCGTCATTCTGTTTCAAACACTGAGCAGTTGGGTAACAGACTGGCTTCAGATGGAGGCAGTGGTTGACAGCAGGGTGGATTGCTCTAGAGGTGTCCACGGTAGGAGAGTGGCTAGGTTGAACTGGAAATGTGCAAGCATGTGGCTCACAGAAATGGGACTCGGGAAGCCAGTTAGAGCATGAAGTTAGGAGTAGGGGTTTGTGCTACAGACAGTTCATATGTAAAGCCCAGGAAGTTAGCCAGTGTAGACAAGGAACTGAATAACAGATGTGGACAATTAGATGATAAAGGCTCATCCGGATACGTGGGACTCAGCTGAGAAGGGGAGGTCGCCTCAGCCCCACCTAGAGGTCATGTGACTCCAGGGTATTTTCTGGCTGAGGCTAGATATGCTCTCCCAGTAAGAAAAAGGCTGGGCCTGGTGAGCAGGACAACTTACCCTTTGGTAAATGACTCAAACTACCCATGTTCTTCTTTTTTCCTATTCCAGTGACTGAAAAAGTCTACGAGAGTGAATCCTGCTCAGACAGTGAAGAGGAGCTTAAGATGAAATCAGCCTCAGTACACAGACCCCCTGCTGCCTCTGTGAAAAAGGAGCCCAAAGAACGGAAGGGCCCCAAGAAAGGGCCTGCTGCTCTGGGCAAAGCCAACAGACAAGTGTCTATTACTGGCTTCTTCCAGAAGAAGTAAAAGCTGCCTCTGGCAGAGCTTGGGGTGGTCAGGGAGAAGACCAAGAAGAATAGACTGTCACTTACTGTGTAAGTTTGCCGGCTCCTTGCCTCACCTGCATCGTGACGCTGCTCTGCTGTCATGTGACCCTCGTACTGCTTCTGTTTTATTCCAACAAAAGGAAGTCACCTGGAAGCGGGAGGCAAAAGAATATTTTTTAAAACTGTTACATTGAAATGAGTTTATAAAGCACAATCTTTGACCTGCCTAGGATAATTCATTCAAGAATTACCTGCCAGGCCCCACTCACCCTGTCCCATGTTCCTTTTCTGGTCCTCTGTAACAATGTTTTTATTTTCGGAACTCTACTGTATGTATTCACCACTTCTCCACTTTCCTCTCCCTGCTGCCCCACTTCTTTTCCCTGACCCCACAAACCTATTTTCTGTAAGTCTTTAATCTTGGTCAGATGAAAGGCTAAAACTAGAAACTCCCTGAAACCCCTGTCTTCACTGTTCAGGGACACTTGGCCCCAGCCAGGCCAGTGCATATTGGCCCTCCTCTCACAGACGCTCTCTGGAGCTTTGCTCACACTCACGATTTGGGCAGGGCACAGACAGAACTTCACTAATGTGCCCATTCTTATCAGAAATGACCTAGAGTCAACGGTGGGCGCTGACAGGGCTGTTGTATGGCTAACCCATACTTAATACCTAGAGAGTGGGGTCTGTATAGTGGGATGAAAGGCTAAAAAGAGAAATAAAGGCTTGCCATGCACCAGGTAGAACTTCTGCCTCTCAAGGAAATAGGGTCCAGAAATGACAGTCTCCCATTCCAGGAAGGAATGGAGAACTTAAGGCACAGATTTCTACACAGATGCTGCTCCTCTGTGTTTTCAAGTCCTGCGTTTGCTCAGACGGACAGGCTCCCCAGGAAGAGTTTGGGGGCGGGGACCTGGCTGGTTATAGATCTAGACCATAATTAAAACATTTGCTTTTGTACTTTTGTCTGTTCTGATAATAACTTTTAAGCACCTTCCATTAGGCAGGAGGTGAGACCCGTCCAGGTTGTGTGGCAATGGCTTTGGACACTGAGCTGTAGGGAAGGGAAACAGACGGGACTGTGATTCACCCATGGAAGATGAGGGGTGTCTGACCCGACCCATTCACTGACTTGTGTCATAGAGATGGAACCAGCTGCCTGCTGTTGAAGGTTAGGGTTGGGATTGACCTTGGGATTTATACAGCTTCTTTAGCAGCCAAGCATGGGCTTGATTAAGGCCAGCAGCTTGGGAGATGAGTCCTGGCCTTGTGTAGAGGACTAGAGGGCAGAGGCTCTGCACATTTGGGCTGAGTAAAGGCTGGCGTATTCCAGAACTTTTTTTTTTTTTTTAAGTGGAAAAGAGTGGAATGCCTGGACTTAAGCTTGACAAGAAACTCTGGAGAAGAATCCCTTATTTTAAGTGGTTATTTTTGTCATTGCCTCTAGTCATTTTTCTAAACGGGAATGGAAAAGTACAAGGCAACAATCCAGTCTTTAAAAAATCTGATTCTGGTGGGATTTCTAATAAAACCAAATTTGAATGGGAGCTCTGGTGCAAGCAGGAGTTGCAGATCTCTGATCCCTGTACCCAACATGGCACCTGAGCTCTGAGCTGTCTGCAAGGCTGAGCAAGCTTTCTCTCCACGTGTATAATCCTTAACCAGGGCACCATGAGTTAAATAAATCCGAGAAGCTGTTTTGAAACAGTGCTTCAAACTGAATGTCTGATGGGTCTGTTATTTGACAGCCGGGCGGCGGGATGTGCAGTTATCTAAATGCCGACCAGGAACAGGCTGGGTTTCAGTTTATGTTGTTAAAAGTGCAGAGCCATAGTCTGAAATGGACAAGTTATTTGCTGTCTTCATCATCTTTTCAGTCCTGTGGGAAATCTTACTTTTAGCCAACCTTATTTTTCAGTTCATTAGGAAGAAAATCTAGTCCTGATCTTGCATTCTGTATTGGTTTGGCTTCGTCCCTTGCTGGCTGGGTGAGGTTGGGCAAATTTCTCTCTCAGTTTCCTTAACAAAGTTGAACTAAAATGAGCCACTGTGTGTGCCAGGCCGAATGTGTATCTGTAGCCTGAATGTGGTCCACAGTGGCAGCCCTCGGCGCTGCTGCTCTCCTGATGGTAGGTGCAGGCAGCTACCAGCTCTTTGAAATGCTCCCTAGCACACAGCCCAGATGCTGTCCTCTCAGAGGCCTCCTGGCAGTACATCTGACCTAAAGGGGAAGATGGTTATCCTGTTTTATGACAGGTTTTAGAGAGTAGAATATTCTTTTTACTGAAAGAAAGGTTTATAGATGGTAGTATTTACTATTAATTAGAAACATTTATTGTGTTTAACACATGCCAGACCTCTGACTGGAACACAAGAGGATACAATAGAAATTGTAGAATTTGTTTCTTGTCCTCAGGATCCAGTGGACATGAGACTCTAAAATGGAATTTCAGGGCTGAGAGTGCAGTGATAGAGAAGTAAGGGTCTCTCAGCGCTCTAAGAAGGTGGGTCTCAAAGCAAGCTCTGGGAGGAGAACCTTAGCTCTTTGAAGGCCATGTATTATTATACCAAGAAAGGAGAATGGAAAGGATTTCCCAGGCAGAAGAGCATGGCTTTGGGTGTGAAGGAGTAGATCATAGAATTAAGATTGTTACATGTATGGGTGTTTTGCCTGTATGTATGTATGTGTGTATATGCGTGCATCATATGTGTTCCTGGTGACCAGAAGAAGGCTCCCTGAGCCATCATGTGGGTACTGGGAATAGAACCCAAGCCCTCTGTAAGGGCAGCAAGTGCTTTTAAACCACTGAGCTATGTCTCCAGTTCCCAGACCGTAGAATTTTAAAACGAGAAAATACATTGAGATGTGAGGTTGGGGTCCTGCTGAGTAGTTTGGATTTCGCCCATAGATAATGGAGTCCAACTGAAGAATGTTGAGAGGGATTTATTAAAGTTCCATTAGAAGTCAGTTCTTGTGATGAGTGACAGTTGGCGTGTCCTGTGCTGCTGCATGCTGTGAGAGTACATCTCTCTGTAAGTGCCCGTTGTGTCTGAGGTCCAGCAGTGGGAAAACGCTAATGAGATTAAAGAAATTGTCATAGCTAAAGCTGCTTTATTCTGGCAGCTGGTGTAAACAATCACATTGCTCCCCAGACTCTCCGGCTTGCATTTCTGTAGCAGAATCAGTTTTTAAGAAGTGATTTCAAAAGCTGATTGTTCCTTGACATTCTCAATGACAGGAGCCTCTACTAAACTTAACGCATAGGAGAGTGGGATGGGGCAGGACAGGTTCTCTCTTAGCTTTCTCCTTTAAGAAGATGGTGCTTGTTACACAGGGAGCACAAGAGCCTTATAAGGAAATGAATTGTTTCTTGAGGACAGGGTAGCACGGGCGCCTAAAAACGGATCTGCCAGAAATGCACTCAGTGTCAGACTCGTTTTGGTAAACTTGTCTCTCCTTTCATTGGTTCCGGGATCTCAGAATGCTGTATAATGCTGCTTTTACCACCATGAAACCTTCAGGGGCTGCGAGAAGGCAGCATTGCTTTCTGAGTTATTACCCTGGCGGCTCTGTAAATTAGCCCATGCTGTCACCATGCCCTCTCTGAAGGGCACATTGTACCCAAATAACTGCATTTGGGATCTGCTCTTGCCACTCCCTACTGCGTGACACTTCTCCCCTCTTCTGCCTCTGTCCAGTTTGTGTGTGTGTTTTTAAGTGTGGGCCACCCACAGATGACCACCCAGGCTCCTTAGCAAGAAGCTTGGTAAGGCTTCTGGTCTGATTTTTCCATTGGATCAGAACCCACCGTAACTCCAGAATTGCCCTTCCATTTCAAGCCTAAGTTGCCACACTCCCCTCCTCCTCTATTTTTCTCCCTCACTCTTGCCAGGCTCCTCATTCCTTGAGGCCTCCCCTTGGCTCTTACCACCTTCTTTTTTAAAGCTCAGAGTACTCCGTGGCTAGCCCTTCTTCAGCTTTTCCTTTGGTCTCTTGGGCTTTCTCAAGGTTCTTCCATGTTTCTTGCCTTTTCCTGGACTGCGCTTGAAGGTTGGAAAAAACACCTTTTCTGATGTCTGCTTTGGATCTTTCAAATGCAGAGCCCCAAGCAGTTTGAATGATAGTCACCTTGGTCCCAGACAAGAGACTGCATTAGTAAGAAACGGGAGCCCAGTCACATACACATTAACTAGTTCATAGCAATGACAATGCTCAAGTGCATGGTAGGACAAGAATTTACTGAGCAGAGAACCTGCATGAGCACGGGGGCAGTTTCCTAGTCTCCTGCAAAAGCAGCAAAAGGTTTAGGAAACTGCCAGAGAAGGGTTACCAATTGAGTGGGTTCAGCTGTCGGAACATCATTCACCATTTATATACTGGTCCATGTAAGAAAAGCATGAGTAGGGAGGGGCTCTTTAACATTTCCTGTCCACACCGAGACTGGAGAGTTACAAACAAGTTTTAAGCAGATAACCAGGATTATTTTGAGGCAGTTTGTACAGTGGTTCTCCATAAGTTCAACTTGATTGTGTAGAGTCCCAACAGCTCTGGCACCCTGGATAGCAGGGTGCCCTGACGGAAACACTCTGTTCTGTTAGCACTGACTGACTGTAGGCCGGGTTCTACGCTCTGGCTTGAGCTTCTTTGTTTAAAATGCCCAGCCTTGCTGCAAACCATTAGCGAGATAGTGTATAGCCGGCACCTTAGAGTTTGATGCATGGAACTAGGAAGACAAGAGCTCAGTTTTGAGCACCTACACTGCCAAGCATGTTGCATGTGTTGTGTGTGTTAGCTAACTCTCGTTCCTAACAACCCTGAGGTGAGTGCTTCTTGAGACACTGTCTCCTGGGTCCCAGGCTAGCCTCACACTCACTGTGTGGCCAACGATGACCTGAAACTCCTGATCCTCTCCACTTCTATAGGCATAGACGAAGCCAGTTTGGGGGGTACCGGGATGGAATCCAGGGCTTTGTATATACTAGACGAGCTCTCTGCCGAGCTATTTCTCTAGCCCACAGGCGCTTTTACTCCCATTTTACATGAGGAAACTGAGGCAGTTTGCCCAAAATCACAGAATTGGGCAGTAGTGGAGGCAGGATGCCTTGTGCTTGTGGCATTTGGACTCCATCGCCTATCTCCACCCTCAAGCAATATCACATATCAGCTGATGCTCTTTGTTTGTTGTTTGTTTTGGTATATATGGGTATTGTGTTTGCAATTATTCTGTGTACCTTCTGTGTGCCTGGTATCTATAGAGGTCAGAAGAGGGCATCAGATCCTTTGGAACTGGAGTTACAGATAGTTGTGAGGTACCATGTAGGTACTGGGAATTGAACCTGGTCCTCTGGAAGAACAGCCAGCGCTTTTAACTGCTGAGCCATCTTGCCAGCAAACTGGAGATGCTCGTTTTTATAAGCAAAAGGACATGGGCTTGTTCAGATCCCATATACTCCCATTTGAAGCCTGTCTCAATGTTTATCAGCCACTCATCTTAGTCCTGTCTACAGGCTCCTCGCCAAGTGCTCTGAGTCTATAAACAAACAGCCAATTATGTTTCATATACCATACTTACAGAGTTAAATAAGCAGACTAATAAACGCTAAGAAGAATTTAAAAGAAGTTTAGACAAAAATAAAGTTTTCCAGTCATTTTAGGTCACCAGGAAACCCTGTAAATTAAGCTCTCTGAGAAATCCATCTATTTGGTTTCAATTGAAGTCAAGAATACTATTTGCCTTGAAAAGTTCATCCAATTCTTGGTCTTGCTTTTGACACAACCTTTGTAAAAATAACAAAGGGGGGGGCATTTTTGCCTTAAGTAAGCCGTGCTTTGAGCTCGCTGGTAGAAAGTGGCCCAGAGACAGTTGTTGCCCATGCAAATAGGTGAGGCCGTAGTGACAGCCTCCATGTAAAGGAAGAGAACCCTGGGGCTGGGGCTCAGTGGATAGAGCACTCGTCACGCAAGTGTGGACCCACTCAGACCCAACTCCCAAGAATCCCAGATGGGCAGATCGGCCTGTTTGAATCCTGGAAGAGAGACAGGATTCCCTGGGGCAGGTTGGCTAGCTGGACTAGCCTAGAGCCCCACTTCAGTAACAAAGTCGAAGATACTGGAAGATGGCACTGACATCACAAGCACTCTCATGTCCACGTATGTGCAAAACAACAGAACCCTTGATTGTTGGGCGCTTTCTTCAGCTTAAGAGTTATGTGCAGATGGTACAAATAGCATGACCCCAGGAGAGCGCTGTTTCAGTCTGTCTGCGGTGGGATACTCAGAAAGCAAGTAAACTGTTAGACCATAGTGCCTGTTTGTAGTGTTCCCTCGTCTCTCGCCTAAGGCAGAGACAGGGTACCAGTCAGCCAGTGACCTCTGGGTGCAGTCAGAAGACCCTGATTCAGTAAGTGGAGAGTGACGGAGGGAGATGCCTGGATTCTTACGGCTTCATGTGTGTGCTCTCCTGTGTTTACTCACACCCAAGTACATACAAACATGCCTGCACGTGCCCACATGCCACACACTCTTGAGTAATTGCAAATAAGTAGAAAAAAAGTGAGACATTTATTTTTAATAATTTTAAGTGAACAGCTAGGAAACTCAGAATCTTTGCATGTCTGTGTTTGGCAAACCTTTGTGGATGCTGACTCCACATAGGGAACAAGTTACACCTCTAAAGTTGTTTAAAGTGGGTGAGGGGGGCTGGT